GAGCACTTGTTATATCCCATACACGACGCCAAAGGGAGATCCCTAATACTTGTTTACATAAACTTTGGCAGTTCAACATCCAAGAAACTCAAACGCTTAAGATTTGCCAAAAATCGCAAAATACTATGACGAAGAATTTGCATTTCACAAACTTTGTGAAATGATTAAAAGGGATCCCCTCTGAAAAATGTAAAACAGCCGCTGTTAAGGGCTGTTTATACTCCAACGTTGAGCGCAGTGAACGCAGCGTGGCGCAGAACGCGCGCCTTTCATTGGCCGGCAACCAGGAACTCAACATCTGCGACCAATCAGTATCGGTGCGCGCTGCGATACGCCGCGCCCGTCGACGTTACGTTGGAGTATAAACGTACCTTTACAGACGTTCGGACGTGCCACGCGTGTAATGACTCTCCTGTCGTGCTTCTTTGTTTTTTCGTCATTTCACGGAAAACCTTTTTTGCAAAAAAAATATGTTCATTTAGTTGCTTTACACGGGAGATATAAAGCACGGATGTCCCTGTCACTCGCGTTCGAATCTCGGTGTAAAGTAAGAAACAGTAGCAGATGTTTGATTCGTTTGATTACGTTGTGCAGGTGATATGACCGCGGGTCACCGGGATATCAGTGCTTCGTATTCCACGTGCCCCGCTAGCCCTTGAATTGGCTTCCACGCTTCATAAGAAGCACGGGTGTTCAGGAGAGTCGCAGTCGTAACTCGACGTCATGGCGCTGTCAAAAGTAGTAAAGCGTTATCATGTGAATGGGTCTCTAGACGGAACGAAGGAATGGTCTTTACACGTTACGTAGACGGAACTCGAACACGTCCGTTACAAAAGCAAGAACGATGGTTATGTACAACACCCGCTCCCAACGTCCCTCGTCGCTCCTGTGAGCTCCTTACTGATAAGCACGACCTAACAAACACTTTTTTTTAATTTGTCACGTCAACCAAAAAAGGTCCACATGCCGGTTTTTTAGCGCATCATGCCGTCGGGACGTGACTAAAATTGCAATAACAAAGCTTCTCAGCAGCCAAATTAAGTATCATCCTTGACCCCACGTCCGCATGCCTTCGACAAAACCGAGAAAGCGCAACATTATGTGTTCGACGAGAACTGAAAATATAAGGTATACAAATAGCGAAAGTAACTCTAAGACCGCGATATCTCCAGACGAAATTGAAAGAAACTTTTCCAGTTATTACAGGCAAAAGCAACTCCTAGCCAAACTCTGCTCGAAAAACAAAAAAAGAAAAAACAACTATGTTCGTCGGCGATTGACCTGTTCTTGAGTACCTTTTCAATAAAACAAAAGAATTGTGGAAGAAGAAGCCATACATAGCCCTAAATTTCTTCTGGGCTGAAGAAGGATTTCAAACACTGATCCGAAAACAATGAAAGCCCGATCGAAGCGGCTCGGCGGCTTTCGAAATGCAGCATGATGGTTTCGGTGCCGTCTGCTGCCACTCTGTAGCCGCAATCGCTATTCACAAGCACATCAACCAGAAAAAGAAATATATATATATATATGTATGTATCTCTCTCAAAATAAAACGAACCCGAATATTCTTGTCTGTCTCACATTTTACTATGAGTAGATTATACAAATGCGATCTAACAACAAAGGAGAATTTCGTAGCTTTATTTAAAAACGAGGGATGTTTTCTTTCTTTATTTCTTTTTCTAACCTCAGATGAACCGGGTAAAGAAAAAAAAAAAAAAAAACAAATTGAAGACGTTTACAATTCTCTGCAATGCCGAATTGGAGGTCAGCTCTTGAGGAAAATGAGGAGGGTGAAATACGGAGCGAAGCGTATGCCTCTCCTCCCCCTCCGTACCCTCCCATTGTCCTCTCCCATTTTGGCTGAATATTTTCGCTGAATTTCTCGCTGAACTTAGCGAAAATATCCCCGCTATATTAAGCGGGAAAATTTCCCGCTAAATTTAGCTGGGAAATTTTCCCGCTAAATTCACATGTGACGTTACATGTGGCGTCACGTGAGACGTGACGTAAAAATTGACGTGTGACGTCATTGTAACAAAACGTCCCTCTAAATTTAGCAGTTAAATTCCCTGCTAAATTTAGGGGGAAACTTTACCCTCGTGACGTCACATGTGACGTCATTGTGGGCAATGTCCCATAATGCAACGCTCGGTTACACCGACGTCGACGGCGACGCCGATGCCGCTCAACCAGGAAACGGGGGCCTAAGAGCTGCGTTGTAAAAAACAAGAGCAATGTAAAAATGCATTCATATACACTCAACAGGGAAATACATCCTCCGTAGCTGCTTCCCCACGTAATGACCGTTTAGATTTAGGCCCTTATCACGAAGTGGCGCAACTTTAGAATGCCTTCCTGAAAGGGGGTACTGCGAGGGTTCTCACTCGTTTCCATCACGCGTTCAAGAAGACCCCCAGTCATCATAGACCCCCATCGTCATGGATGTCTGTTCGTCCTACCGGAAACTTCATGCAGTTTTCTCCATACAGATTACCCATCTGTGGCGACTGACGGTCTTGTTGAATACGTGCTGGAATACGTGGTGGTATAAATAAACCAGTAAACAAAGTACAATCCATCGTTTTTCACAACTGTGTCATTAGGGGGTTCATTTAGAATACTCAAACTTTATGTATAAGTTCCTAAAAAGAAAGTAAACATAAAAACTTTATTTTTCTGCACAGGGAGGAAAACGACAAAAACCGTCGAGTTAACGCTGATACAGCACGGCACGACATAAAACATAACGTCTTCTCTGAGATGGATACCCTAAAACAGCTCCAGCAAGTCCTATTGTGTCAGCTGCCATCTGTGAGCAAGCAGCATTTACCAGACGATTTTTTTCTTTTTATATTCTTTAGGGAAGAAAAAAACTTTTTCTCGAGCATCATTTTTTTCTTTTCCTTATACCTGCACGATAAATGCATAGTCTAAAGGACATCTTTGTGAAAAGTTTCAATGCACTGTGTTGATTGCTTTATTTATACGACTTTTTTTTTTTTTTTACCAACCGAACAGCGCTTGAGAACACTCTATTGTATCCTAGCGGTAAATTTGAGGGCACGTGTATTGTCTAGTCTATAGGCCCTGACGGGCCGAAAACGGCTTGTGCCGTCTTCAGTGCGAACTTCCTGCTTTCGACAACGCTTTGGTGTCGCGTGAGCGTCGAGCGTGCACGCGCAGGCAAAGCATGGCGGAAGGCAACGAGCGCGTGCTGCAGGCCGGCTGTTCGAAAGAGATGCTCTGCCACCTTGTCAGTGAATAGAGGCTACGTGCGCGACCAAAAGCGTCGCTTTGATCGGCCTTCCACGATTGGCTAAACGCTCACTAGGTCGTCTTGAGCAGAGAGCAGCTCGACGTCTTGTCACGCGCTTTAACGTGAAACGCTCTTAGGCTAGGTGTTCGGCATTTCGTGAAGCCCAAAACTGAAGCCTGGATAAAAGCGTGGACGCGGGGCTCGACACTGATTGCTTGACGGGTGGGAGAGGAGGACTGAGGTGCTAGGCGCTGATTGGTTAACGGGGAGGTCATGTGACCAGGGGTAGAGTGAGAAGGAGAGGTAGGCGAGAAGGCGAGGTGGGAGAGGAGGAGTGGGTTAGAAGGTTTTGGAAGATCGCCAGCTTTATGATTTCAAGTGTACACATGCGACGCGTTAAATTATTTGATGAAGAGCGCCGTGAACGTAAGCGTCTGGCTGAACAGGCTAGGCGTGCTGCTGAACAAACTTCCAAGGCTGAAGACGAGCGGCTAACAGTATCGGAAAATGTTTGTGATGCTAGAAGGCTTCACGTATACAACACAATTGACTAGCAATTTGCCATACATTTTCACGTACCATCAAAGTTGTCACTCACTAGTACGAACCTCGGTCGTGACGTCGGGGATAGGGGCAATGAGAATGCGTCAACAAAACATCTCGTCGCCGATGGACCAGGTTGATTTGGCCCGGCCCACTGAATTGAATAAGATGTGTGGTTTCTTTACTTTGCCGGCGAAGTTTGAAGCGATCGCTTTACCTACAGATATTCACATGACAAGGTACGCAAACTGCTCAATAAAAAAAAAAAAATATAGTTCACGGGTATTTAGCCCGAAACCCCAATCAAAGCGTTCTTTTTTAAGTATTTATTGCAGGTTGGGGAATCCTTGTGGTAGCACCTATTATGCCGTAAAAAAAGCGTCTTATGTGGGAAATGCTTATGGGCCGGTAAATCTCCGTGCAATCATTTATGTGCCGACGACATTTATTGGTTTTCTGCATGGTCGCATGGTAACTTACCCCAGCTAATTTCACTGAGACGATAGCCACGAAGGTGACCTGCTGTGGTAGTGATGCCATATGCGTATACTTTCGCTGGTAGCGCCCCTTCGTCTCACTTTTTGCGCCTTGCTTTCGTCTACCGCTTTTGCGTCTTACGTTTTCACTAGGTCACCCACACCAAACACGCATTCTAAATTAAAAAAGTAACCTTGTAATGCCTTTGAAAGAACATACACTCGAGTGATAATAAAAATCCCTGGAGAAGGGGAGCAAAAGGTACAAAGAACAAACACAAATCTTCAAACATAACTAGGTAAATGGTGCGGGAACAAAATAATCCTCCTGGTTCTGGTATCGAACCAGGGACCAGGCGGATTTCATTTCTTATCGTAATTCTTGTTTAGCTCGCTTGCACCTTTGCATTAATTGAATTATAATCAATACACTCGAGATACATCGTTCAATCTGGCAAATTTATGTGGTCTCAAAAGAGATAAGCATCAGCCCGGCGTCTGGTTAGATCTTCCACTCATATGCGGCACGTACGTTTTCCTTCGATTATTCCGAATGCAATAATAATGGATTACTTAATCCATTATTATTCTTCCTAATGTTACCTATCGCAAAGTGTTTGAATTAATGTAATAAGCATTTGTCTGCGTTAACCTGCTTTTTTATATATTCAAGGTTGATGGTGTACCTCAGTTTTGAAACAATCAAACATCTTCCTTTGCAGTTTGCCAGCGAAGTCCGGTGGGTGTCCTGCTTCGACACTCTGGTGCAAGCCAACAGGCGAAATAAGCGGGTATATGTTTTGTGCTCTTATATACAGTGACATTTTTTGTACACAGAAACTCAAGATAACAAAAAACCACATAACTTATGAGTGTTTTAACGACATGAAATTTGTGTAACTTCAAATATGACAGCCTCTGCGGTCACTGTGAAAAGAAAATATCGTGGTCACTGCAATACTACTGCGTATGCACGAGGTGCTTAAAACATGCATAACTCAGTGGTGAATAAAATCATGAAAAGAGATTGATCTTACTATGCTTAAGTTTGCGCACTGGTATTCTATTTTTTATATATTTCTTCATATAAGTTTTTATTGGCGTTATCGTGTAGGTACGTATGAACAATGGAGATTGCATGCTAAAAGGAGACCCTACCTTCCCTGCAGTTAAAAGAAGTACGACATGTATGTACAGCACTATTTTAATGTGGCAGAAGTGAAGGAAAATAAAACACAAAGCACCAAGCACCAAGGCGAGGAACAAAACAACCCCCAGAATAAAACTCAACTAAGATACGCACTAAAGGTAGTTATCAGTTCTCCCAAGCATTCATCCTAACAAACGCGGTTAAACTTTAGTTAACGGAAAAAAAAGCAATTTACCTCCTATACAGTTTGTCATCATCTCACCGAACTGCGATTCAGAAATAATCGCTGATACCACTAAGGGCCCCATTAGAAACAGCCTTCGGGTAGCCCTCTTATCTCGCCTAATTGTTTGCCGATGCATCACGCAGACACGGAAGAACAAGTAAAAGCAGACTTGACGATACATCGATGACCTCAAAACAGCCTACACCTATGCTTGTGCCTGTACCTTTACTACGTCGCAACAGTGTTTTGTATATGTTTAGAAAGAGTTATATGCGTAAAGACAGGGGACCCGTCCCTGTCTTTACGTATATATAATATACGTAAAGTCAGGGGTCCCGTCCCCTGTCCTTACGTATATAACTCTTTCTAGACCTACATCATTACCAAAGCGCTCGCTAACAAGTGTAGTGTTTGGTACTTTTCGACAAAATTACCGTACTTCTTGTTGTTGTTTTTTGTGTGACAAGTGACAAGGAAGTTGGCACTAACTTTACGAGGCGATAGCGTGCTACCACCTAAAATCTCCAACATAATCTTTACGCTTTCGTTTGGAACGTCCTGTTGTTCTTGCAGATACTGTCCAAGAGCATTGACCGGATTACCGACGGTGGCACCGCAAGTTTGTCGCACGCACTGGACTTCGCCTTCCAAAACATGGCAGACGTATGTTTTCGCCTTGTTTATAAAATAATCCAGTCAATAGAACATAATCAAGTTAAAAATACTTCTATTGAGCTGTGATGGGGACCGACCTGTACATTGCACGACACTTGATCCAAACATGCAATCGCCAGTTTTCTAACGCGTAAGCATTAGAACGCTCGTTTTGACGAAATCCCGACGGTGTCTTCCGTTTGTCAGCAACATGAAGCGAAGGAGAAAAAGGGGGAGAGTGTGACGCGTACGAAGCTCCCATTGGTTCCGAAGCGCTGACTCCAGTACGCGTCAACCTCTACCCTTCCTTTTCTCTCTCTCCCCGCCTCTTCTCGTTCTCGTCACGTGACCCCCTGAGGTCACGTGACCCCCTAAAGTCACGTGACCCCCTTGAGGTCACGTGACCCCCTAAGGTCATGTGACCCCTTCTGGTCACGTGACCCCCAAAGGTCACGTGACCCCCTTAGGTCACGTGACCCCCTTAGGTTACGTGACCCCCTTGAGGTCACGCGACCTCAAGGAGTCATCTACCCCTCAGTACGCTTCCATCTTCCTCCTCAAGAGCTGCGCTCTAACCGGCGTTACAGGGAATTGTAAACGGCTTTCTTTTTTTTTGTTCCTCTTAGAGTCGAAGGACTGTCATCAAACTAATGACTTGGTGAAAAGTGCTCAATAAGGACAAGAGCCTAAGGAGTAAAATTTGATGCATGCAAAATAATGTTTCAAATTAAAATTTAAAAAAAAACGCTCCTATGCTGTGTTTGCGCGAAGAGTGTTGACCTGTGCACATTCTTTGTGTTTTTGAAGCTTGGAATTCTCTGACTATGGATGTGCAGTACATATTCATTTCTATTGTCATCAAGCAGACCAATACGAACAATAAGTAATGCGAGATCATGTTATCATAATATGAAGTCGAATTACGTTGTTGTTGTTTTCTAAATATGTTACTGTAACAAGTTTGGTAGAATTACATGATAATATGTTATAATTATCTCGAGATCATCTTAGATGACATGATATTATATTACCCTTTATTTAAACATATAACGGGGCCATGATAACTCGGCATCCTAACATCACACAAAAAGCTCAAAACCTCTGCAGATAAAACTTGCAAAATAGTCACGCAATATGACGTGTGAACACTACATGTAGCGCTTTGTTAAATCCATCTTTACTGCAGTGTGTTCTTATACCGATAGGCAGTACGGCCTTTAAAATATTTCATAGCCTTCTGCTCATAACCATATGTAATGCGGCCTATTGCCACCACATCTGCGTTTGCTTTGACTCCAGTTCCAAGAAAATCGGACGACGTATGCCGGCGCGGAATGCATCCAGATGATCATGATCTTCACGGACGGTGGCACGGAAGACCCAACCCCATTGGTCAAGAAACTCAACACTGGACTTAAGGTTTCCCCGACCTTCCTCATGCTCTCTCACGCTCAGTCTGTTTAGACTCACTACTGTGCCTAGAACGCGTCACCGACTGGATCAATTGTCCGCATCCCAAAAAGTGGTCCTCCATTGATATCCGCCCGACGACATAATAAAAGTGCCAAGCTGTAGCCGGCCACGAACACGGCGGTGTCACGGCAGCAGTGATGAATGTAGCTGACGCCTGTTCTGCTGCAGTTCGCTCTAGCTTGACAGTCCACGGAAGCTTCAGTAGTTAGGAGTTGGGACCCCTCAACGACAGCGAAACTCACGTTCGCTCGTTCTTTTTGCCGAGTCTTCTACCACCAACCGCCACCAGGATCGCGGCATTCTTCAACGTGACGTGCCGGCTTCTATGACGTCATCTTTTTGCCACTTCGGGGCAACTTTCTATGTACGGGCATGATACGACACTAAGCACACCAGTCGCGGACGCGTTCCAGACACCTTAGTCTTAGTAGAGGGCCACAAGAAGGAATTAAGTCATCGTAACAGACCCTTGTCAAAACCTGATCAAGCAACATTGGTGGTCGTCATTTTTTGGTGTGTGCGATTGGATCCGAGCCTTCGCCGAACGCTCGCTGAGGCAGCACTCGTCTTTTCACGCGAGCTGAGCAGTGCTCACACCGAACGATGGCACAGACCTCGTGTTCAATACATGCTCGGAGTACGTGATCAAACAACGACGGGCTCGGGTAATTGGTGCAGCAGCTTCTAGATGGCGCGCACTTTTGAAAAGTTTCTATTATAAATAGGCCCTGACTCTTTATGGCACAGAGCTTCGTCTTTGCGTTTGGTTAGCAGCATAACGAGCGAGAAAGAAAATAATTCTGAGCCTTTCTTTTGCGTTCACAAACGAAAAGCTGTTACTCAGCCCGGATAGGTATGAAACTGGTCCTGTTGAGATGAAACTGAGGCCCTCTCCGCTTCTATTTCAGATTCGCATCTTCACTTTCGTTGTTGGACCGCACCCGATACCGTACGCTACCCTCAAGGCTCTCGCTTGCAACAACAGAGGTATCCCATTCGAACATGCATTAAGCGTTTGTCGTTACAGTGGTGTCTTGCTTTTTCTAGGATACTTTACGGCTATTACATCGTTTGGAGCCAGTAGGTACAAGGTGCAGGTCAGTACAAGTCAACTGAACATACCTCTGCCACAAATGAAATGATTCCATGTTATGCATTGAAAAGAGACATCTGACGGGTTCCAATGCCGTGCGCATTTGTACGGCTCTTACAATTAATAATAATTATATAAAAAACCGTGTATTTTTCTGTATTACTATATTTATTAGCGGTGATGATGAAATTCCAATATGACGTTATTATATCTTTTTTCGCGGTAGTTTTTAAGCAACTCACTTGGCTCCCTTGTTAACCTTTTTCGTGTTTTACCAGCTTTACCTTCGTAACGCATAACCCGCCAACAAGAAAATCGAGTTGATTTTTAAAAACGTAGCGACTGATTTCTTTGAGAGATTCGACAGTAAAGAGTGAAAATTCCTGAGCGCAACGTGAACATGTGTACACTAACTTGTTGTATAGATAAAGTAAACATTTGTACATAAACTTTATACAGTAAACATGTGTATATACACTTTATACTGTAAACATGTGTACATTAAATTTATAGTATATAGTAAACATGTGTACACTAAATGTATATGCCAAAAAATTCTACATTGATGATTTATGTCTGTATCGGTCTTTCCGTGTCCTGCTGTCTCAGCGAAGGCTTTCAAAAACTCTAAAAAATATAATGGTTGAGAAAAAGAAGAAACTTTTTCGGGGAACAAACTGCCAGTCAAGGTGAATATCAGAAATTGTAAAAAGCATACTAATTAGCGAGATAATAAGGTAAAATGTACTCATTAACTTTATAATTGGTGAAAATAAACACATGGTTTCAATATAAACTTGCTAAGCATCGCCACTAAATCAACTAAAATTAAAGAGAGATAAGGTTGAGGCAGCCTTTTATGACATACCAAAATACGCTCACTTTGGACGCGTTCCTAGGTTTCGGTTTCCTATGGCAGCGCGTCTTTGCGGCAGCGGTCCTGCTCCCCGGTGGCCGAGACGCGCAACGCATGTACGCCATATTTCCCTCTGTTCTACAAGGGAGGCAAGGTAATGGCTTCGCATCTCGGCCACCGTGGAGCAGGACCGCTGGCGCTCCGATAGGAAACCGAAACCTAAAAACGCGTCCAACTTGAGGGGCTTTTTTTTTTTTATTAACATCGTAAAATGATGTTTTCGCCCTATATCTTTCCAAAATCTGTTGATCTAGTAGTTTCCCGTGAAGCTTAGCAATTTTCTCATTGGAACTATATGTTTATCTTCGTTAAATAAAAAGTTAATTTTTTTATTTATTTGTCAATACTTCCAGCCCAGTTTAGGGCCAAGGCAGGAGTGGGTTACATTTCCAATTGGCCCACTGAAATCTGAATAGCATACAAATAAAGTAAACAAAACAACAAACAACAAAAAACATTCTTAGCACTAAAAAATGTTCTCTACAGCTTTCTCAAAAGAAGAGAATGAATTAATGCCAACAACATCATCGGAAAGACTCTTCCATAAGTCAAATGTATGCGCAAAAAAAGATTGTGTATAAATATTTATTCGGGCATTAATGGGAGCTGCGGGCTTTGAGTGGTGCAAACGTTCGGGAAGAACCCTCTTGGTTTTAAATATTTCGAGCTATCTTTTTATGCCGTTTTTGAAAATCTGAAAGAACAACTGGACCCCTTGGCACGCTCTTCTGTTCGCCAGAAATTTTATACTGGCTCTCGTTTTAAGTCCCGTGACAGATGTGGTCCGTCCGAAATCTGAAAAAAAAAGGACAAAAACCCCTAGTGATTGGACATCTTTGAGTCCTTTGACCAGAGAGGTCTGCCATGGGCTTCACACTGCAGACGCGTATTCTAAGGCGGGTCTAATGACTGATTTATATGCAAGAATTTTTACAGAAAAAGGAGATTTTCCGAGCGTTCTTCTCAGGTACCACAATAGGTAAATTCTAGTTCAATACTATGCTAATTAGTATATTTTTCTTTTTTTTTGAAATCCCTAACGTCCGTCGTGGCTGGAAGGTTGTCCCTGAAAAGAGTTTCCTTCTTTCCTCAACTAGCCTATTTTATAGATATTTGAAAGCCTTCGCGAAACGATCGACCTCTATATTGGAAAAAAGAGTGATGATGCAGATATAAAGAGTTGCCCGAAAATCTGCCTAATATATTTCAAGTAATGTTTCTTAATGACCGATTTTAGAAGGATATATTTATATATACTCCTTAAATTGCTCTTACTCCTAAAAAATCCCCTAACTTTTCAAATTTTTCTTAAAGAAAGAGTTACAGGATTGTTGCTTTGAGAGTAATACCTGGCTTTATCAGCATATATAGAATAGGTAACATATAAATGTTTTATTTGTTGATTACGAAAAAAAGCAACTATCACCGAGCACTTGCTATAATTACATATTATTGCAGTTTTTTTGTTTGTTTGCTTGTTTTTTTCATCAACGACCGATATCATTCTTTTCGACAATTTCTTCCGGTTTTATTTTCAAGGAGTACCTCAAGGTGCTCAGCCGACCTATGGTGCTTTCTGGGGAGAAACAATTTGCCTGGACCAATTTCTGCCAAGATTCAGGGGTGAGTGGCCCGTCCCTACATCAAACGTTATATCTTTGATATCTTCTCCCACTAAGATATATCTGCCCAATTGGTTTTAGGGAATCGGCCTGTTGACGACGGCAACTCTTCCTGTTTACAACAAAACCCAGGGCACAGTAAGTCGTGTCCTTATGTCCTGTTCGTTTCTCGACGGGTAAGGAATATACCACCTGCCAACTGCCAGTGAATTTTCTATAGAACAATGTTTACGACACCCAACACTCGAAAACAAAAAACGTGTTTTCCTTACTTGTTTTTCATTTACAGAAAACCCTACTTGCTATTAAGTTTATCTCACAAACTTTATGGAAGTTTAATTTTTTTTTCTAGTGAATTCTCAATTTCATTACAAAATATAAAATTTAAATATTAAAAATATATTTTACACGAGCCATTCACTCTAATTTAAATGCACCACAATCGGGAAAGATCTGTTGGCTCATTTTAAGGGTAGTGCGATACCAAAATTTAAAGAAGGTAGCGCAGCTGGTATATTTCCATAGTTTTAATTGCAATAAAGTTTTGCATCTTTTCTTCATGGAGTTTTCTGCTTCGTGATCGCAGAAAGATCAGGCAATCGTGGGGGTCATGGGAGTGGATGTATCCCTCGAAGAGCTCAAAGATCACGAACCCACGTACAAGGTACGCAATCCAATTATCTATGGCAGGGGTGGCCCGGCTGATTCAGCCTAAGAGCCGCAAACAAAAGCACGAAACTTCCAAGAGCCGCGGGGGGGGGGGGGGGGGGGGGGGCGGCAAACCTTTGTCCAGAGCAATAAACGAAACCGGAACTACTTTCAATCTCTGCAAGTCAAAAGCAGTCCAATTATGCGTTAGGTAGCATCAGCACAGGACTACCAAACCGCAACCTGTCTTTCCATTTAAGACGCGGTCTATGTTTTTTTTTCTGTTTTTCTTTTTTTTTTTTGGGGGGGGGGGGGAGGAGAGGGTAGCAGAGGGAGCCGCAATCCGCACTTTAGCAAGCGAAGAGCCGCAGCTTGGCCACCTCTGATCTATGGGCTAGGACAGCTAGGGCCATGATAATTGTCTAGCCATTACCTACGACAATTATTTACCATCAAGGCTGGAAGCTCTCACAAATGCCTGCTGTTTATTATTACGAAGACGCTGATAAAATATAGCAGGATTCATTAATCAATAATAGTTTCATAAAAAAGAATGTTGTAGCGTGAATGAAGCAACTGAAATGTGAATACCTATGTTTACATATTTAGTGAGTTTATTAACGGCCGAACGATTCCTTAGCTATGCTAAGTGCGTATGATATTTTGTTTAATGGTTCAGGCACCAAACTTAAAATTAAAAATGCAATGCGTCATTATGAAAAAAAAAATAATCACGAAAAAAGCGTTTGAAAATGTAAGGGTCGACATCATTTCGGGTTTCCCACTTTGTCAAACAGCGGTTAAACTATTTTTTTAAGATGTACACGCCTTCTGTGTAGAAATAATTTTGCTTAAAGAGTTAATATGATTCGAAGGATCAGAACAATGACTACTTGCTCTAGTATAAACCCATAACACACAAAAATGTATGCACGAACCCCACATCTAAAACAGGCCCCTAGATCCAGAAGACGTTTTTGATTTTAAACAAAGAGCTGAAAAACACACATTCATCACAAACATAGCTGAGGAACATACATTCATTGCGATAACACAAATGGCCCGAGACATGTCTTCGGCTTTACCTAGAACTGCCCCACAGCTAGCATCCTACGAATATGATTGTTTCAGATCGGCCCATCGGGATACTCATTTATGATCAACCGCAATGGATACGTCATGTACCACCCAGACATCAAGCTACAGGTTTGTGATTCGTTCAGTACATTCTTGGCAACCCCTCACATCCGTGACTCTGTTTCTAATTTTTCTTTGAATTTCAGCTTGGGTCCCTCGAGGAGCCACTGGACATAGATTTTCTCGACGTGGAGATTGAGAATCCAAAAAAGGAAAAGGTGCGTCTTTCGTCTTGCACGTTCCTTCGTCGACGCAGTGATGTGCTACACTTTTAGAAATAGGGGCGATGTGCTACACTCTCAGAAATACTTACACCTATTGTCCCATGTATAACGTCCCAAAAACCAAAATTCGACGTTTAGTTCACTGACGCGGAGCTGACGATACCAACTTTCATGGGCAGCTTGATAGTCGAGTGATACAACTGATTAAAATACCTAATGTACGCATTAAAGACTACTGGAAAACGCTGAAGGTATTGTGGCCCTGCTGCAAACCTTAAGGGTTTTTGTAGTCCTTTATGCATACATTAGCTATCTAGTAAGTTATATCACATCGCTGTCAAGCCACTCGTAAAAGTTGGTATCGTCCGTTTGACGTTGTAGCGGCAGCTATCGGCAGCGATCCAGCGCTTGAACGGCGCCATCCATGCTCACGGTGCAGGCACGAGCTAAGGACACGAGATGCCTGGACCACGAACTGCACGGAATCTGGAATTCGGCGAAGGGCCCCTCAATGAGCTAGTCGAAAAGGACAGTGTAAATATTGTAAATAAATATGTAGAGTGTGATTTACCGAGCCTCCACTCCTACAACGTCAATGAACTGAACGTCGAAATGTACTGAACGTCGAAATGCTTTATAACGCGCCGTACCTACCCTAAAATCCTGACCCTTCGAAAGGTAACCCATCCCTATTCTTTGCTTGATTTGCTATTGGTATGGGACAAAGGGCGTAAGTACTACACAAGCTATTTTGAGAGTGTGAACGAGAGGAACTACAGTGACAATGAACTGAAGACACCTAATTAAAAGTGGGTATATCTTTTTGCTCGGCTTCACACGGCTGAGCGGATCGGTCTGACTGTCTCCAACTAATATGCATCAAATACAGCATTGCAACCACAACATACGGCCACAGTTTTCCCGTTTGTTACGCTCTTTTATAACCCACCGTGTTTACGGTAGAATCACGACAGATGCCCGACCTCCGAGAGGTATCCCACCCCTGTATTTGGTTTGATTTGCGATTTCTCTAAACACCGAAACATAGCCCAGTCTTAGTAATCGTTGTGTTCAGATCAATGATGACCTTCGAATAAATTTGCCAAGTTAGCTATGACGCGATATAGGCGAACATTAGTGACCGGGAAGTACAGTCGTCTTTGTTTCATTGCTCCTCACCGCAATAAAATGTTTGACAGAGACACATAATCTTAAACGAGCATTTTTTAAACTTTTCTTGATTGCGCACCAAAAGTTATCCCACACCTTATTTTCACACAATTTTCTCACGGTTTTAGGTGGGCTATCTCTCGGGATGTAACGGTAAACTCTAAAGAAATGTCGATGAGAATTCACCTCTTTGCAGTACACAAAAGCATCCAGTCCCGATGAACAATTGAAGAGTTTTAGCAATTGAGAAAGCTCAGAATGCGATTAAATATAAAATTGCGATATCTGCAAAAATGCAAGCCAGACGTCATACTCATTGTGCTAACACATATCGTTTTCTTTTTTTTTTTTTTGTCTTTTTTGGCTAATTGTATTTTAGCCTTATCACTCGCTGGGACCATGCACTAATTGTTCGCTTTGGTTGGCTGTTTCTATGTTCTGCAGGAAAGTGAACTCACATACTTTTTAGGGTGTCGAGGAAACAGGGTTTGAAGTCAGATACAGATACGTTTTGTATTGTGATTTGTTAGACCTTGCGTACCAAAAAAGGATGGAACAAAACATGTCGTTATAAACTGTTCTTGTCTGTGGTATCTTGGCAACCAAACAGGTAACTGCATTTCGTTCGCAGTGGCAATAGCATTCTTTCAACAAACACGCAAAAGCTGCCACTAATTCAACAGACATCGTGTGGTCATTTCCTTTTTTTTTTCTTTTTGCTTGGTGCATTATTGTGTTTCTTTTTTTTTTTTTTGCAATATTTCACCCGTATTAGTGTTTCGTACTAATATCGCAATAATCCGTTCAGTTCACTGCAACTTCATCAAGCATATAAAAAGTTTTTGTTTTCTTGCCTGTGTAATTCGAATTCAAACTTATTGCAGATTAATCGAACATACATGCTAAGCTATTGGTTCTTGCTTTGTTTATTTATTTATTCAGATTAGGGAGCTAATGATTGAAGGCCGCTCAGGAAAAGAAACTCTAAGGAGCCTGATAAGGATGCCGGATGAGGTAAACTGATACCACCAGAAGAAGAAAACAATCTACAATAGAATACTCAATTAAGTGGAGGAATGCTACTAGACCGTGTTGTTTACTTTTACAGAAACATCTAGTCCCACAGAACATGGTATATTTCTATACACACATGAACGAATCGGAGTTCGGGTAAGTCCTAAAATTGAATGTTTTGGTTGTTGTTTCTGTTGTTGTTGTTTCCTTTTTTAGCGCGACTCAGGCAGAGGGGGAAGGGAGGTCTTCTACAATTGGGAGTAGTTTATTTGCTTTTGGAGGTACGTCCAGGTGTCCAGTGATATGGTAGGCTAGGGGAGCGAGCCCTGCTTAAGCAATTGCGCTCTAAGCGTGAGTGATCGTGGAGACAAAACCGTTTGTTTCCACGTTGTGTTCGGTGCTATAGTCCGTTGCAACTCAAGACGATGGGGCGAGGGAAAGGAAAGCCGAGGAGGAGGAAAAAGGCGGAACGCTGGAGGAAAGAGGAGGTTTCCCTCCCTCCTGCTTTCCGTCTGCTTCCTCCTTCCGAACCTTCCTTTCCCTCGCCCTACCTTCTTGAGCTGTAACCTACTTTAGACAAGACAAGTTGTTGTGCACGGTAGAGAAAACCTGAGGTTGCACAAGACTACATGAGAGCTGAATTGTATGCATAGGTAGGATAATTCTATCACTTTTTTGTCCTCACTTCAACTCCGCAGCGTTGGACTGGCGTTCCCAGAAAGGAGAAAGTTGTACGTGCGTGTGGAAGGGATGCGTGCTGAAGACGGTGAGTTTCACAGCTTGAAAAACATAATCGTGAACAATGCGAATTTTTTTATAGTATTCTTGTGCTTGTTTTATTCATACAATATGTTGACTTTTTGTTTCAATTCCTCTGTCGTTTCTAGAACACGTCAGTCATTGAGTCACGAGACTACAAAGTCATATATAAAAAAGTGCCTTGATTTTATATTTTTTCTGTGCAATAAAAATAAATAAACATTTCTTTTACTTTTAAAACAGATTGGAAAAACCAAAATCTAACGCAACCACCGCTGAGGTATTAAACCACGTTTTTCTCCTCAAACGACTCTGCAACTGTTGTTTCATCTGCAGCAAGATAAAGTCATATAAAATGCTTATTTATTTATTTATTTTGATAACACACGCCCCGCGCTTGATGTTTCAGTTCCAGACCATTTCGCTTCAGAAGTAACCTAAGGTCGCTCCTTAAACCAGGAAATATGATTTTCGTGGTTTTGACTGTCAAATGATATTCGGCTGCAATATTACTTATTTGTTGCCGAAGAACATGGGCGTTTTGTGCATTTATAGAAGTGCAACCTTAAAAGAAATGCTTTAGGTTTCGAAAGATGCTAAGCAGGCCGTTACCTTCTTCCAGGTTTCAAGCCAGAAACAGAGAAAGGAGATGGTGTCCTCTTGGCTCCGTGGTAAGGTAACTTTCTATCTGATCTTGACAATACTTTCATACAGCTACTGAGAGAGGTGATAATCAAGAATATTATTAGGAGGCAATCAATAAGAATCTTCCTGCGTGAGTGTAATTATTCGAAATGCGTGATTCATTGCATGCACTTTAAGAACCTCAAATGCATCAAGCTATAGTACTTTTGGGACGCAAAAATTTTGTGTAAAAAATTCCAGGGAAGGAAGGGGAAGGGAGTGGAGTGGGGCTGGGGGAAGGGTTTTTGACAGTCAAAAATGAGATGCTTGTCATTAAATGCTATAAACTAAGGATATTATTGCAAAAACGGCATCTATTATATGGCATGTCATGGAAACCATTGAAATGCAGGCGCTACTGCAAAAACGTGGCGCGTCCCAAGGGACCCACGGGGAACCTAAGCCAAGTCCTGGAAGCGTACCGGACAGACCATCGTCAGTGTGAGTCAGATGCGACTTTCTGTTTTATTTGTTTTTTTTTTATATAAATAGTATTGTTTTTATGTGTGTGTGTTTTCTTGATTTTTTTATAGCTGTGTTGCTTGTTTATTGGGAACGCGAAGTCGTCCCAAGGTCTCTGTCGTAAAAACGACACAATTCGATTAAGTGACACCCACTAAAATGAATTTTGATTATCTTGAGGAGATTATGCTGATGTCGCTATAGACGGCTGGCATGAACTCCCTTTTCTGCTAGCGAGTAAAGTAAGCGCGTTGAAGCGCCGCCAAGGGAGTTTCGTCTTATTTAGGATGCCTCAAAGCGTTAATTTTCATTCCCGATCATGTATTTTTTTACATATTTTGGTAATATTGCATGTACTGTTGTAATTTGTAAATGAAACGTTTCATCATTGGCCTATGCATTTATTCGTTTTTATATTTGTTTATTTTTGTTCTCGTGGATAACTGACGCTTTGATAGTGATGCACAAACAATTAGATTACAAATCAGTCCGCAAAAACCCACTAGAAAATGAGAGTTAAACGCATCAGTATCCGCTGCACCGAGGGTGTTATAGAACAGCCAGGTTGTTATTAAGTGATTATGTGTTTTTGTACCAATATTAATAGGGTATTGTTATTATTACTAAAATATAGTCATTCGCTTTTAAATTTTGTATATCGTTCTTGATACATGAAAGCGAGTACTAAAAAAAGGAAAACCATGTGTTCATAAATTACTTTTGACATGAAGAGTTTAAACCACCAGCTCGTTTTACCTTATGCTAGAACAAGTTGTGTTCAGCAATTTATAGATAGTAAAACAATTTTCTAATGAGTAACTTGCTGTGTTATTGTTTTTGTACGTATTTTTTCATATTTCCGTGCAAGCGTTCTGACAAAATTAGGCAATAACTTTTCTTTTTAAAAAGTTGCCGGTTATTTGCTATCGCAGGCGATCCTCTACTCATGCAGCGACTCCTCTGGGACATTGAAAACACGCGGGCTGTAGTCAACAACTGGACAAGCGACGCGTTCGCTGAAGAAAGGTAATTAAGCATCACGACTTCCTCTCACGACCGGTTATAGGTGGTCGACGAAGAAGGAGCCATCATGTAGCTTTGCTACACTCGCCGAAAGAAATTCCGAAGTAATCTATACGGTCATAGCTTTGCATGTAAACACAACTAAGCAAAATCGATTAAGACGGTACAATCAACGTGTCACGAACTAGTGGCTAATTGTCTATCAGTATCGGACAATGAAAAGCTAACGTATAAAATACTTTATTTTTGTCGCGCCCTGTACTGTATTGTCTTGTAATTCATGTAAATATATTATAAAAAGTTCAGTACCTTTTACAATAATGGCTCGTTGTCTCATTGAGACGAAGATAGAATAAAAAGAGCAAAGCTCTCAGTTCTTGATTTCGCTGTGAGAAGTTATGAGTAGTGCTTAAAAAACAACTACGATCCGAAAAAAAAAAAAAAACATTTATCACCTATAAATGAATGAGGTAGTCAGTCATCCGACGTTCGACACGCTCAACGCCGCCAAGAAGAGATATAATTAAAAAACAAAAATCTACGTCAGCGAAAGCATTATATTGCGATCAAAACGATACCGCTATATTCACCCACAAAATTATTTACTTCTCCGTAAAAAAGTAACGAACAAATTAAAAAATTTAGATTTTTATCCCTACAGGTCGAGGATTGTAACGTAGCTATTTATTGCAAGTGCACAGCAAGACAACATTATACAACATTTTTTTTTTCTTTTGGGAATCGGCAGAAATAGGGGTTCTTATGATATCGGTTTAATTTTCAGAGACGGCATCCTCGGTACCTTCGTGGGAACCGAAGGAGGCCTGATACGGTACCACCCGGAAAAGTAAGCGAACGCTGTCTAGCAATAGGGAGTTTTCGTAGATCGTTATCGCCGTCCCGCAACGCTCACCGTAAACCGCTACGATACCCGCAGCTCTACAGTCAAGGCCATCGGCGCGCAGGCGCAGTAGGGGCTTGTTCCTTGCGGAGGGCTTGGCAGGGGGGGAAACGCGGTCTACGAAAATTCCCTAATGTTTTCTTTCGTGGTTAGAGCAAGCAACAGAGCCAACAGGTTTTGTTGCTTCCTTCTCGTGCCCACTTTCCTTACGAACGTGTATTTTATACTACAGCATTGCGGTGTACCTGATCCACGAAGCGAATCCACAAAAGGCAGCCTACTTTAGGCGAGCCCTCTACGCAGAGGACTTCGTTTTCCTTATCAGTAACGTCAAGCGCAAGGACGACGGTGAGTGAACAACAATTTGATTTCGCATCTTCTCGCCGGACATGCTCGTTTCACTTATTGCTTTCCTGCATATTTCGGTTTTCATCCTTTTCTTTCTTTTGTATCAAAATAGGAGCCATGATTCTTGTGTACAGTCGGGAGCAAAAGTTTACGGGGCACCGGAGCGCGTGCCGAAATGCATCGCCGCGCCGTGCAACGGCGCGCCGCCGCATTAAAAAGCCGCGCTTTGCGCATGCGCGCCCTTCATGCTGGCAGTCATGTCTCTTTCGCTCGTTTCTGTCCGACTCACTCCTGATAACCGGAGTCGACGCCAGGGGCGCAAGTTGCCGTTTCGCTGGCTGTCATGCCTGGCGTCCTCTTCAGCCGCCACAGCAGCTGCGCTGGGTGACGGAGCGCCTGGTTAACCCCCTCCCCTTCCCTATGCGAGCTCCGTGACAAAGCGCGGCGGCTGAAGCAGACACGCAAAATGACAGCCAGCGAAGCGCTAACTCGCGACCCTGGCGCTAACTCCTGTTATCAGGAGTGCGTCGGAAAGAAACGAGCGAAAGAGACATGAATGCGAACACGAAAGGCGCGCATGCGCAAAGCGCGTCTCCTTAATGCGGCGGCGCGCCGTCGGACGGCGCGGCGATGCATTTCGGCACGCGCTCCCGTGCCCCGCAAACTTTTGCTCCCGTCTGTACATCCAATGCTGCTACGACGCCACGAAAGGATACCACTGTACTAAGAGTAGGGTTCGCTGCGGATGCATACAAATGCTTATGACCCTTTGATGAGCAAATAACATCATTTTATGCTCCCTTTCGTCCTTTTTTTCACGGTTTTTGACATTTTTTATATAAAATGGCTCTAAGAGTGAGCTTTTATTCGTGGAAACTTAAACGAAATAGTGTAGACGCCTGCCAAGATTAAAACGAGAAACGTCTTGTTATTTATTTTTATGTCGTGTTTTCTTACTTAATCAAAATTCAGCAACTAGTCAAAAAAAATGTGTATTTTATCAATTATTTTCAGTAGAACAAGATAATATCTTAGCCACATGTAACCAGTGTGATTTCCTATTCCCATCCGTCTCGAAGCTCTCAAGAATATTCTATTCTCGATTATGCTGTGCTTGCACTCCCAGTGCGTGCGAGGTGCGTATTGTATCATGAACGAGGACACAAGACCATCATTGCGAGCAGTGGAACGAGTAATCTTTATCTCCTTCTCCAACTACTCTAAGTACATGCACCTCGTGCCGGTATATACCGATACACCCCACTTTCTTTACCGAGAGAGCGGGAATATCAAACTTGCGGACTCAGGGAATCCGCTTAAAGTTTTTGGCATATCCCAGATGACGGGGTGGTTGTCTTAACCGCGCTGAGGTGCGAACAGGAATGCCGGTGCAGCGTTGCTGCCGCGGCGTCGCGAGACGTTCAGTGGCACACAGTTTGCGGGTGCTACTGCTACAGTATTCTCTGCACTCTTCTGCGTTGCCGCAGGTGAAGTGGGTACTTCAGTGCTCTAGCTGGCTACTAGCTGCGTAACCCTCTGGATGGTCAGGGGCATCGAAGGTCTCGGAGGTTGTGAGCAGATGCTGTCCATTTCTTCTGGACTCGCGCCCGTCTTGATTGATGATCTTGTACGATCTTGGCGCGACAGAGTTTTCGACCTGAGCCTTCGCAGTCCAACCGTCGTCGTGTCGCACGCGGAAAATATCTCCAGGTTGCAGGTCTGGTAGCCGTTGGCCCCTGTCTTCCTTTTGTTTGTTTTTCACGACGCTTCCGTGGATACTAGTTGAAAAATCGGGTATTCTGGAACAAATCCGACAACCCATCAATAGCTCACTAGGTGACTTTTCTCTTTCCAATTGCGAGGACCTGTAATTTAGCTAACCCCAAAAAAAAAGTCCTCGCTTGCATAGTTTTTTTTTTTTTTCATAAGTCGCTTCACGACTTGCACTCCCTTTTCGACCAGACGATTGGACTGTGGGAATCCTGGATTCGAGGTCGCGTGCTTAAACTCATACTTGGAAGCAAACACTCTAAATTCTTGTGACACAAATTGTGGCTCGTTGTTTGAATTGACTTATAGAGGTATTCCGTGTCTCGCTATTATACCTGAAAGCTTGCTGACCACGGTGCTTGTCGTCGTGTCCGGTAGAGGTTCAACCTCTGGGAAGTTGGAGTATGCGTCGTAAACCACAAAGTATGATTTTCCAGCATACTGGCAAGGATCTGCTCCCCCACGTTCCTAGGCTCGCTGGGTGTTGGTCGCATTAGTAGAGGCTCGCTGGGTTGACGATACGCAAAACATTTACATATCTCGCAGCGACCGATCATTGCGTTAATCTCCGTCGCAATGCCGGGTCCGAACATCAATATTCTTGCCTTTTCTTTACATTTGGCTAGGCCAGGGCGTCCGTCATGCACTCTTGCTAGCATTTCTTTGCGCAGAAACTTGGGGATAATCACTTTTGCGCCATTAAACAGAACTCCATTTATGATGGCCGGTTCTGAAGCGAAAGGTTCGAAAGGTCCCTCAATTGTCTCAAGTGCCTCTAGCACTTGCGCAATTCGGTGTAACTTCTGGCCATCACGAGTTGCAGAAACCGAACAATTCAGTGTATGCTGACTCACCAGAATCGACAGAACTGAGACTGCGTGCACTTCAACGTCGTCATCTTCCTTCTAATCAAACGCGGTTCTTCCTGATGGCGCTCTAGAAAGTGTGTCCGCCAGGAGCAGTTCTTTGCCAGGGACGAACTGGAACTCGCAGTCGTGCTTAATGATACGGATGAAGAAGCGCTAAAGCCTTGAAGGCATGTCTCCTTGGTTTTTCTTGGAGATTGATATCACCGGCTTGTGACTCGTTTCAACATCACTTTTCTACCATATATGAAATCATGGAATCTTTCGCAGCCGTAGACATTTCCAAGCGCTACTTTCTCGATCTGTGAGCACCTTGTCTTAGTGTCGGTCAGCACTCTTGAGGCATAAGGAAACTGGACGCCAGTCGTTTCCATGCTGTTAGAATAACACTGCACCCAAGCCGTACCTTGAGGCATTTGTGGACACTTTTGTAACAAGGGACTGATCAAAGAAAGCTAGCATTGGCGCTGCTGTGAAAGACGCTTTTATGTCTTGTCTTTCCTTTTCATGAGCTTGAGTTCACTCGAAGAGTGATACGTCTTTTAGAAGCTCTCGTAACATTTCGGTCTTGTCCGAAAGTCGTGGCAAGTACTTGCCGAAGTAGGTGACGACACCCATCATCTGTTGGACTCCTTTCTAGGTCCTCGGAACATGCATCTCTAGGACACTTTGTACCAGTTGAGGTGTCAGGTTGTATGACATTTTTGGAAGCCCTGTCGCCCAGAAAGGTGACTTTTGTGACACAGAAGAGGCTTTTTTTATCAAATATCAGGCCCCCGTTTTGTGCCGCTAAGATAGCTCTTTGGAATCGTGCATCGTGCTCCTCACGCGTGGCACCCCAGATGAGGAATTCGTCGATGCAAACTGGTATGGTCCTGTGCGGGGACATCTCGTGAACGGGTGGCGGTAATCAACAGTCTACCGCCGCCCCTCCGACCAACGACCCTACGGGAATGGACCCATCCGACGACGTCAGCACCTGCTAACCGAACACTAGTATTTTCATCAATCATCTCCTACCTCCGGTCCTCCGGGACTGGACGGTACATCAACCCATCGTCATCCTTAAACGCCCTTTTCCCCTCCCCCATGTCACATGAGGCCCAATCGGCCAAGGTATGGTTCACATAATAAATGCTTCAATCAATCTTGAACGCCCGGTACCCTATTGAAAAATCCGACAAAAACTTCCAGTGACATTCGGTGGAAACGGGTTAATTTCCACTCAATTTCACCAGAAACCAGCGCAGTTTACCAGTCTTCGGTGGAAATATTACTGGCCGCCACTTCCAGTAACCAGATTTCGCCGGACCTTTCACCGGAGCCACTTACGGTTAAAATCCGGCAAAAACTTCCCGTGACATTCGGCGGAAACGGGTTAATATCCACTCATTTTCACAACAAACCAGCGTAGCCACTTTCGCTGGAAGTTATACCAGAACCACTTTCGATTACCCGCCGCTGGAATCCTACTGGAAGACACTCTCGTTTGCCGGACACCGAACATTACTGGAAGCCGACGCAAGGGGAGCGGCTAAAGTCAAGGAAGCCAAGGCGAGCAGGGGGAGTGTGTTTGTAATGGCGGCCGCCAATGCAGCGGCATTCTCGTGAATGCGTGTTTAGCTCAAAACGACGTTGTAATTCTGCAAGAATTGCGTGCAGCGAACTGTTTTGGCGATCCAAAAAGGTGGACAGCGATCACCGGCAACTTAATTAATATTTGTGACAGGCAAAAGTCTGGGCCAGAGCAGGTACGAGACCACTCGGGCGGCATTCTCGTGAGTGCGGGTATTAGCTCGGGACGACGTTGCAATCCTCACGAGTCCGTACAGTGAACTGTTTTGACGATCCAAAAAGGTGGGCTCTTTCGCCCGTTTTCATCCGAAACCAGTTTACTAGTCTTTGGTAGATTATTTGCCGGCAAACAGATTTCACTGGGATGTCACCGGCAGCCCAGACGACCCGGTTTTCCTAGAAATCTTACCCGAAACGGGTGACTCGCTTCCCCGTTTACCGACCTTCACTCGAAGCCGACGCGAGGGGAGGGGAAGCCGAGACGAGCCGGGGACGTGTGTAATTATGGTGCCTCGCACCAAGGAGGAGTCCCCACGCACCCTCTTACCCTCGCATTGGGTTCGTGGGGAAAATGCAAAAAAGTCGTTTTGCTGACTTTTTTTTTTTTTTTTTAAGGAAACCGGTTTTTTTGTCCGTCAACGAGCAACGGCCGGCCAGGAAGGAACGCTCAGTCTCGGCTTCTCGTTCCATGTGTGCGACCTGTATCTTCCAAAGCGGCTGGGTGTGCAGATGAAAAGAATATATTTTTCAGTGACCTGTTTCTTATGCCTCTTTGTCCGTCCGTCTTCAGAAGCATCCAGCGAGCGAAAAAGACTGTGCCCAAGATTTCTCAACGTCGGCGGATGTTTGTTTCGCGCGTTCGTGGTTTTCGCTAAGCGTGCTACTGACGCCTGGTGCACCCGCGGCGACGGCATCAGGGACGACATCGGGAGTGTGCCCGGGATTTCTCAACAGCGGCGGATGTTCGCTCCGCGAGTTCGTGGTTTTCGCTAAGCGTGCTACTGACGCCTGGTGCACCCGCGGCGACGGCATCAGGGACGACATCGTGAGTGTGCCCGGGATTTCTCAACAGCGGCGGATGTTCGCTCCGCGCGTTCGTGGTTTTCGCTAAGCGTGCTACTGACGCCTGGTGCACCCGCGGCGAATGCATCAGGGACGACATCGTGAGTGTGCCCGGGATTTCTCAACAGCGGCGGATGTTCGCTCCGCGCGTTCGTGGTTTTCGCTAAGCGTGCTACTGACGCCTGGTGCACCCGCGGCGACGGCATCAGGGACGACATCGTGAGTGTTCCCGGGATTTCTCAACAGCGCCGGATGTTCGCTCCGCGCGTTCGTGGTTTTCGCTAAGCGTTCTACTGACGCCTGGTGCAAGCGCGGCGACGGCATCAGGGACGACATCGTGAGTGTGCCCGGGATTTCTCAACGGCGGCGGATGTTCGCTCCGCGCGGTCGTGGTTTTCGCTAAGCGTGCTACTGAGGCCTGGTGCACCCGTGGCGACGGCATCAGGGACGACATCGTGAGTGTGCCCAGGATTTCTCAATGGCGGCGGATGTTCCTTCCGCGCGGTCCTGGTTTTCGCTAAGCGTGCTACTGACGCCTGCTGCACCCGTGGCGACGGCATCAGGGACGACATCGTGAATGTGCCCGGGATTTCTCAACAGCGGCGGATGTTCCCTCCGCGCGTTCGTGGTTTTCGCTATGCGTGCTGCTGACAGTATACGTGTGTGTGTCCGTGTGGTGCACCTGCGCGGTTTTATTAATTAAACTACTGTGCGTCTAGGAATTTACCCAGCGGCATTGTGAGTATCTTGAAAGATGTCTTTTGCGGCAAAGAACTTGGTTGTTCCTATTTGGTCTGATTGCTTTTTTCTACAGCTGTGCAAATTGTTTCACTGGTATCGCCCCTGTTAAATGAATATATGGAACCTTCTGGCCTATATGGACTAGCCACTTTAATTTTTACCGAATCGTCCAGCATCTGGTAAACATAACCAACAACTGTTCACATGCTCCCTTCTAAGTGCCTTCCGTTGACGTCCGAACAAAGAAAGAAAAAACACGGTGAATTCCGGCCAATCTGGTGATCTTCTGGTAAATTCTGGCTTTACTGGAAGTGAAAAGAGTCCCATAATCGAGTAAAATAAATTTTTTACGGGAAATCGACTTCCGGTAAAAATCCGGTAACATTCCTGTACAACGATTGGTGACATTCCAGTAAATCATCCGGCAACATTCGGGTAAACTACGGTTTTACTGGAAGTGGAAACAGTCCCATAATTCAGTAAAATAGACTTTTACTGGAAATGACATTCCGGTAAAAAATATCTTTCAATAGGGTAGGCCGTCGAAGATCTGTGACATTGTCTTTTGAAAAACCTCCGATGCGGACGAAATTTCGAACGGAGGACGCTTGAAACGGTATCGTCCAAACGGAGTGCGGAAGATGCAGATGCGTGGCGTTTCTTCATCCAGGGAGATCTGGGGGATACCCGCGTTGGCATCTAACCTGGAGAAAAATCACGCGCCAGCCAGCTACACTTCGATGTCCTCTCTTCTCGGCATTTCGTACCGCTCGAGTTTCAGGCTTTCTTTAACAAATCTGGGACCCATGCACACTCGTATTTTGTTTTCTTTCTTGCAAACCACGACGAGCGCGCTGACCCAGTCTGACGGTTCCTCCATTTTGACTATTATTCCTGCCTTCTCCATTCTGAACAGCTCCTGTTTGAGAGGTGCTTTCAAATGCTGTAGTACCCGACGGGCTGCTTAAATGGCTGGTTTGACTCCGTCTTTTAGAACCATTTCATACTCTTTCATGGTGCATCCGAGGCCACCGAATAGTCTTGGAAAGGTTTCTGCGATCTTTTTTGCATGGTCACTGGCACCTGTCACGGTGTGGACATGGTTTATGAACCCAAATGACTTACATGCTCCGAGTCCGAGAAGTGCCTAGCTAGCTTTCTTAACGATAAAGAAGTCTAGGCTTGCGTCTATTCTATTGATTTTGAGCCGCAGTTCGGCAATTTCAATGTTCCCCATGATACCTCCGCTGAAGCTGCGAAGTTCCGCCCTCGACGGTTTTGGCACACGTTCTCCCCTTAGTTTCTTGAAAGTCGATAACGGTAGCAGGTGTGCTTGGGAACCATTGTCGACCTTCCGTTTAACTCCTCTGTCAGAAACGATCGCTGGTATGATCCAGTCAGCACAACCATTTCCGATGCCCAAAACAAAAAAACAAAAAAAATTCGTCTTGGTTACTCACTTTGTCGACTGTGGTCTTGAATTTTCAACAAGTCAAGCAGTCATTCTTTTTGCGGCATACATGGCATGCTTTGCCGTATGCGGGGCGTTCTCGAGGCTTGCAGTGCGTGCTGCACCTTCCATGTTGCTTGGTCTTGCAGCGGGCTTGTCCTTCTGCTTGGCTACAGGTGCCACGCTCTTCTCTGTATTGTCCCAAGTCCTTTGCCTTTCCTTGGCTACTTCAGTCGTTTGGTAGAGTGTGATTGTCTTTTCCAAGGTCATGTTATCTTCGCATAGAAGCTTTTCGCGTACCCGCGTGTCGGTGTCGCTATAGACAATCCGGTCGCGAATCATAGAATTGAACAACTGCTCAATATTGCATGTTCGAGCTTTTAGCTTTACGTCTCGAAAAAATTATTCGGACGACTGGCCTTCTGCTTGCGTCCGAGTCCTGAATTTGTAGCATTCGTAAGTTTCATTGCATCTTAAAGTGTAATATTCTTCAAATTTTGTCACCAGGACGCGGTAGCTGGTTCTTTCTTTGTCTGTCAGTCCAAAGGTGTTGAAGATTTCCATGGCATCACCGCACCCGCGACGTGGAGGAAACTTTCTGCCTTCTGTGTGTCGGTGCGTGCCTTATCCGGCTCGGTGGTGGCCAGGTAGAGCTCCAGTAGCTGCTGCTTAAACTTGCGCCAGTTGTCCGCTACATTTCCGGAGAGAAGCGAACCATCAAGCGGGCGAAGTCCCTCCATGGCCAGGCTAAAGAAAAGCCACTTCTGACATCATGCATCATGAACAAGAACACAAGACCATCATGACGGGCAGTGGAACGAGTAACCTTTATCTTCTTCTCCTACTAGTCTATCTACATGCACCTTCTGCCGGTATATCCCGATACACGTATAATCAGATCGACAAAGAAGGCTCTTCTTTTGTTATCGAAGCCACCTTTTTTCTTCTTTTTTTTTTCGCCAGGAAGCTGGGGTTTGAATGCCACCCAAGAACATGTCATCATAGCGGCCAAGGCGGTCGACGTCTACATAAAAAAGGCAGAGCTGATGCCGGCAGGTAAGCACGTCTATATGTGCTCTATCTAACAAGCTGCGCCCAAAGCCATCAAAAACACACGCGCTTGAAAGCAGCTCTGCAAGGTGCTCGTCTCATACAATTCCCTTACGCTAATAAATAACTTCCTAGAGAAACGCATTAATGACGGTCTCGCCCTGTAACGTAGTATAGGGGCTTTGAGGTGAAATATAGCCGAGTTGAATAGTATACCCTTTTTAAAATTCCTATTAAGCAACATTGGAGACCGCCATTTCATGGGAAAGAAGCATGTGATTGGATGCGAGTCTTTGCCGAACGTTGACCTATAGCCCTCGTTCTCGATATGAGCTGGTCTCAGTCCACGCCGAGCGATGACATAATCCTTGTGTCCAAACGCTCGAAGTTGCTGCCCAACCAATGGCGAGCTCGGAGAATTGCGCAGAGTTACTATAGATGGCACGTACTTTTTGAAAAGTGACTACTTGGAGCTCCTCGCGAACGAAACGCAAAATCTACTGAAACGAGGCAATAATGACCAGCAGTTCTGGCACGTGATTAAACTGAGCTACTTGCCGAGTTTTTGCGGTACCTCTACGTTAAAAACGCAAACCTAATCTTATTGTACTTGGTTTCGAGGTTTTAAGCTTTGATGTAACATCAGTGAGGACCCGGCGACTATCACCATCATTAGCACTTTCCTTTAGAGTTAAGGCAGAAATACCGCGACATTTAATGTACAAGAGCATATTCGTCGATGCAACACTCGCCCAGTGACTTAGAAAAACGAGATGCTCTTATTTTCGAGACAAGGCGAGGCTTTATTCCCGACAATCCTGTTGGTTCTGTTGACCTGTGCGCAAATTTAGAGCACCTTTGGTGCCGTTTATGGAGGAATGTATGTTCTTGTGTTTTTTCAGTCGTAGGCCTTTTGGTAGAAGAGAGAATTATTCACGAGTCTCTTATGACGATGTCTGCCAACGGAAGTTCGGGCGGCCACCTCCGTTGTGCTGACGAGGTGAGGACGAGTCCTGCTTATTTGTGCATAGTTGCATCGTGAGATGTCGGAAACAAGAATCCTAATTTTACTTTTATTCGGTTCATCGACTCAGGACTTCGTAATCTGCTACCTTCTCGACGACGGCGGCTTCATTATCACATCAAGCGGTGATGATCATGCTGAAAATGTAAGAGAATAGATGCGCATTTATTGCTGTGCGGGTGACTACATACACGTGGTCATAAAGACTTAGTTTTAACAAAGGGAAATTGGCCAACTGCTCAAGATTAAGAAAATTAAACTCGTCTGAAAAGTTTTGCTGTCTTTCTGTTAAAACTATGAAACATGGAATACAATTGTTTACATTTATTATGTTTACACAGTCTTCTAAAAATATTTTAGCGATTTCTTACAAAAACTAATAGTGGGTATTTTAAAGCATTTCATATTGGTGACACCTTCTCTAAACTGAATGTGCTCATAGAGCAGTGTGTTTTCTTTTTCACCATTGTGCTAACTTAATTACTGTGATAAAGTAAATATTTCGAAATTATTATAACTTTTCTTTGTACAACTACTTCTCTTTTACGAATTTGCTCGAAAATTATTCTGTCAGATTCACCTTTCAAGGCATGTAGACACTATGGTGCCTTTTTTTAATATCATTATATCAATGTATTTCTGCAGGTAGGAAAATTCGTCGGAGCAGTAGACCCAGAACTTATGGACGACATGCTGAAGAAATCAGTATATTTCAAGTAAGTTCCAAAGCCAGGATAAGGTGTTTTTTTTATTTCTTTTTAATTGGCAGATGAACACCTGTCAATATCAGGTGGCCTAATGCTCGAAGGAAACAACAGATATTATAAATTCCGAAATTGAAACCTTCAGCCATTAGGACCTACGCGTTCGCTCACCCTACCAATTATCAGCTGCCTGCAATCGCCAGACAATCCCAGAAGAACATCACCCGGAAGCTGGTCTATTCACAGAAACGAAAGGAGTGAGTGCTGGCAGTCTGTTGACGCAAACGTTCTCATCCCGCGGTATGTGCACAAAGCATTGCGTCAGCGAGCATGCAACAGCTAAATGCGAACATTCTACGGTTTGAGGGAATGAATGCGTGAAGCTCGTCTAAATGGGGAGCGAATACTCACAGGCTAAACACAAACTATTTCACTCCTGTAGAGTTTGGTGCAGAAAGGCGTTGTAGCGTGACGCATGTTAAAGACCTCAGATTATCAGTATTATTCCCCTGGTGAAGTATGAACCTCTACTGTGATGACACAACCTGCCACATTTTAGAACAGATTAACTCCCAGTTGTCTAAATGGTCATACAACCAAAATGACATTGATTTACAGATGGAAATAGGTGAAAACCATACATAGAGCATGTATATCGTGAACCAGCAACGTCTTTGCTCTTTAAACGCATTCAAGTGCATCCGATCCTTTATGACCGATTCACACGACAGACTAATCCGCGGACGGATTGATCACGTGACGGACCGTCCGTCTCCTAAGGGCATCCACATGGAGGAAACGACGAGCAGACGACAACGAGGACGAACCAAACCTGTTTGTGGACCCACATGGCGGCAAAACGCCCTCAGCGCACTCTGGCACCGTTATCCAACAGCGAAAGCGACGTTTGACGCTACGGTCACGGCAATGCCGCGAAAAAGAATCCTTGACAAAAATTATTTTTGGAGAAGGGGAACAAGAGGGACAAAGGAAAAACACAAATCTCCAAACACAGCTCCAGGGATTATATCCGTCATCCTTGTCCAGCTCGCTCGCACCTTTGCATTTAATTGTATTATACTAATGAGAATCCTTGTGTGCCCATGTTACATACCGAGCAAGACAGAACACCGTGGTAGGCTTGCACACCACCAGCTTTACTAACCCAAGGAATTAGACAAGCATGGTCCTGCTCGAGGGGAGGCTTGGACGGAGAAACGATGGAATCTTGGGCTCGCGAAGGGGGGATTGGAGATGCCCTCACGCAGCGGCGAACTCTTTAGTTCGCCGCTGCTGCAAGAAAAATCTTACTGGTTGAAAAGCTGGAGGACGTGCAGACAAGATCGCGGTCTGCGAATTAAAATCGCGCTTCGGTCCGTCGTGTGCATCTGCCATTGCGAGCCTACCAGACTTGCGCCACAAGCCAGTATCAGTCGCCCCGGTAGTCGGTTGGACTGGCCGACATTCGTAGTCTGGTATAAGCTGGCGCTCCAGTGGTGCTTGTAACTCTTGAGATGACAGTACGTTAAGGTACGTTTTCTAAGAGTGAAATTACATGCTTTCGCAGGATTGAGGAACTGCATACAGAGTCTCGATGCCCACGAGTGCGGAAGTACACAGCAGGAGCGAGGTCGTCCATGTTGGTAAACGAGCGCATCTCCACCTAACGCCTCACTACCTCACCGCTTGCAGTAATGATTCGTTGATGTATACCATCAAGTAAACAATACATTTTTGTATATTACAATGTGCAGTAGCGCCCAACCCAACTGACTCTTGAGTTGTGAGCTGTATATTACTGTATATTAACACTAATTATCTGCATGTTTGATCATTGTACCAAGCGCGTTTAAATATGATAGCTTTATAGGGTGAGTGGTGCCTGGGATGACCATTTGTCTTCAAGTGCCTGGGGTGGGTGGTGCTCTTAGTTCAGGTGGGGCCTAGGGCAGACATCAGTATGAAAACAGATTACGTCATACCATTGTATGTTTGTAACTCCGCGCGCTTTCCTTACACACCAACCGGATATAAGGCTTTTGCGCTGAATTTTCCGAGTCAACAAAACATGGGAAATGCGGTTTTCAGCCCTTCCTTCTCCTCCTTCCGCGCGCTCTTTGTACACCACCTGTTTCCGCTCTTTTCTTCCTTGCCCTTTCCAGCCCTTTCCGCTCAGCTCGCTTTCTCATACCACATCCTTCTGCTCCTCCCGTTTCTGCGTGCTGGATCTGAAGCTCAATCCGCAGCGCATTCGGCTTCCACGCTGGTGACCGTGGTTAAATCCCTAGCGCCAATTGCCTTTCTCTTTTTTTTTTTTTTGTCGAAATTGCTTGGCGGTTTTAAGCCACCAAGAAGGGGAAGTGCGCTTTCCTGCCCCTTTCACTCCTCGTTCCGCGCCCTCTTTCTACGCCACCTGGTTCTGCTCCTCTTTTCTGCCCTTTCCACACCCCTCCACTCCGCGCGCTTTCTCACACCTCGTGCTTCTGCTCCTCCCGTTCCTGCCTGCCGCGTCCGTAGCTCAGTCAGCAGCGCTTTCGGCTTCCGCGCCGCTGACCGGGCTTCGACCCCTGGCACTGGTCGCCGATTTTTTTAAAGATCGTTTAGCGGTTACGAGCCGAACAACCCACAGACTTCGTGCATACGCGGCGCCTGGGTTAAATGGTCCTATAAAGCTACCGCTTTGAACAATTTAAACCACGACATACTGATCATATTTTACTATGTATCGCTTTATGATTAAAAAAGAAATATACAAAAAATCTTCGGTGACTCCGCTAACTTGTGCCAAGCTGGCGCACGGTACGCGTCTCAAACCAACGCAGTGTTGGTCACAGTCCTATTGAGCAAGTCAAGATAATATTTGCGGTGTGTCGAATCGACTAATCAACACAAATAAATTAATTATCTAACTTTTTAAAATAATGTGGGCGCAAATCCAATCAAACATTGTAGCGCGTGTTGGGAAACATATCCAATTGTGCCGTATCCATCAAGGTAGCCTTCCTGCATCTAATTACTTCGAGCTTCAAAGAAAGCGACTGAGATATTTAAAAAAAATCACACGTGACTAAAAGCCCTAAAGCGGTGGGACACGTGAGTGATCAAGACAGGCGCCGCGAGGCAGTTCCTATAGCAAACTGCGCGGGAGCTGCAACGTGGTGGCATGGTATAGCATTCACGTCACACCGTCCACTCAAGTTGCTATGGAAACTGCCGCGTGGCGCCCGTTTTCATCGCTCATGTGTCTTGTCTGACCTTTTTTTTGATCTCACTTGTTGTTGTTGTTGTTTTTTGTTGTTTTTTAAGGGTCAGTAAAATTAGCCACTTAGAGGCTACCTGATGAAAACGACAAAATGGGATGTAACTCAAAACGTCCGACAATTTTTGTATAAGAAGGTTAGCACATAAATTATTATTCAAAAGTTAGCTCATTAATTTGCGTAAATTAACCAATTTGGAAACCGGAAAAAAATTTTTTACTTCCTCAATAGGACCGTGAACAATACTGCGTTCTTCAACACGCGAAGCGACCAACTTTTTTTAGCCCTTGGCACAAGATACCTGAAACACTCCTCTTCTCGCGTGGACTGAGCCAGCGCGCTTGTACTTATTTTTGTGCAAATCTACAGGCGTACAGCAAATTTAATCCCATCCTTTTAATTCACTCCGGCAGAACAATGAGTATGTATAAGTAACCAATTAAAATGCTATCGTTGTTTCTTCTTGCAGCCTCTAAAAGACATTTTTCACATCTTCGACATCAGCTGGGTGTTAGACGCGGCATCTTGGTAAGATTTGTGGAGCATACTTTTTTTTGCACTTTGTTGTAGTATATTACCAAACTTTTCGTCATGTTGAAGACTTGTTTTCTTTTTCCTTTCAGGCAACTACTCAAAGTCTGGATATACACGTAAGACGACGTAGTTTTGTCTTTTTTTTTTTTATACCATTCTGTCACCGTGTTTAAGGGCCACACAGGGATGGTTTACGGGAAAGGGAAGTGCGAGACGTCAGTGATCGGCGGAACCAGCGGGACTCCCTCCCCTACTCAAGCATTCACACAAACGGCGAGGAGCCAAGAGGGATGTTAGTATTATTAGATTCATGTAGCGATCGCTACATAAAACGGCACTACGCGAATCTGGCAGCAGCGCGGTTAGATACAGAAGACGGCGAACTGCATCCTGCTAAAAGAAAGATGCTTCTTGAGTTGCTAGATACAACACAAAGAACGTGGAATCAAAAACTAGTTGTGCGAGGAGCGGCTTGAAGATGGCATTGATGAATACCGAAGACACCTTCAAATGCTTTGGAGGATATCATTGGCAAGCCACAGCAAGTTGGATGATGCCCATGCCACCACCGGCATCTCGCTGAGCAAAATCTGGAAAAATGCCGGAGACGCAAATAAAATGCCGCCAATCGCAAAAGAGGTCCCAAGCCAAGGCGGACAGCGCTTGTGCAGCCCGAACCAAAGCTCGCCCCTCCCCCTGGGATGTCTACGTCCAGCACGGCTCTGCGCAAAAGCTTAAGGTTGTTACCACGTGATGTCCATCCCGGGGAGCGAACGGAGGAATTTCTCCAGCGTGTGAATATCCCTTTAAGAACATTCCAGAGCACGTTCCCACACACCAGATCCATTGACTACGGTCCTCCTGACAATGGGACCTATCAGCATTCCTTTAGAAAGTTTCGACAATCGCCGGTAACGTCTAGCTTCTACCGGTAACCTAAATTACGTATAAAATTGAAGACCCGACTAGAAATAAAAACTCGCTAGCTTTCCTTCGGGTTTCAACTCATTGTAATATTTTATGCAGTTCAGAGAAGCCATATTCTTTTTAAAATATATGTGTAATTTCACTTCTATGCTCGTTTGAGTCATCATTTATTTAACTTGCAAATTAGACTTACATAAAAAGCTTGTTCATCATAATATAATCAATGCGACCTATATCGACAAAAACAGGGCTTGTTGAGCACCTCCCTGTTTCTCACCACTCACTACTTGTTCCAAAGCTATACAACGAAAATTACACCGTGTTATAACAAATGTTTTGCATGAACACAATGCTCGTAGTGAGTTTCGTGGGGGAAATGAAAACTAAAGAAGTTAATTGAATATATACTCATAAATATTAGAATATATGTCACGAAGAGTGGTAATAACTCGATGATGAGCTAACAGTTGCTCTCCGCAGATTTTTTTTTATTTTTTATTTTTTTTATTCTTGACACATTCCTCGTTAATTCCAAGCAACTGCAGCACCAACCAAAAATTACCATCGTGCATTGAGAACACTCTTCAAATGTACTCCCAGTTTTTGTTGGAATAATTTAAAAGGTCGGCCATGAACGCCACATGGATATGTATAGAGCACGATCTAGTTAGCACAAACAAGCGATGGTTATTATTGTTTTCTATTATTGTTTTTATTATTGCTAAAAGGGTACCACGAAAACTATCTAGTGTAGTCGAAAGTGCTTATTTGGATACTAGTCAATTCGGTAAATTTTAATGCTCGTCAAGATTTTTCCAGGCCAAATGCAAAATAAAAAAGCGCCGATGTCGTGTTCCGGCTTAGCAGCGCGACATCTGACTAGGCGTTGCCCAATCGGATGCTTTGAAGTTTCAGGATCTTGTGGCCTTTGGTGTTATCACAGTCTTTTTTAACGAGTAGCGTTAAGGACATCGTGTCGCAAAAAAGACGGTGTCGGTGGCGTGACAATCCTCATTGGTTGACAGGGTCATAACGTTACAGCCACATGACCTCGCCCGGAAATTTCAAACACGCAACCCTCACGGGAAGCATGACGTCAAGCGTGGAATGAAAGTGGTTAAAAAAACATAACACGTAGTGCGAATTAAAGGTCGCCGCATGTCTAAAATCATTTCACTTTATAGGATAACTCGTTTACCTTGAAGGAAAATTGGAAGACCTTTAGGAGGGATTCGAACCCACGACCCTTCGGTTCCGAGCCAGACACGCTACTACCTAGAACGGGTGTCTTTTGTCTTTTTTTTTTTTTTTATTGTTCAAGGCCATGTCCACCGCACTTCCTGCTGACCGACAGGAAGAACATGAGAAGCGAATAAGAAGGTGATGGGAACGGGGCCCAATAACGCAATCGCGTTCCACTCTTAAAGCCGAAAACTTAAGCGTCCTTCATTTTTTTTCTTTAACTTGGCCTTTTAAAAGAATATAATTGCGCTGTAAAATTAAAATTGGGGCGTGAGGCGTGAGGCTTGTCACTTGCCGCTTAAAGCACAGCATATTTTTTTTTCGGCACATGGGCTCAGGTGGTTGTGGTCGCTGACGACCCTGGGTGCTCAGTCGGCCAAGGTGGCCCCCAAGAGCTCGTACGCGCCGGACGACTACCGCGTGTGCACCACCAGGGAGGCCCTGTACCACTTCGGAAACCGGAGCAGTTACTTCATGAGCAGCCTGGACTGCGGGAACTGCTCCAGGTGCGTGCTCCAGGAGAGCTGCTTTATTTATAAGGCCTGGCCCGAATGGACTGTAGTCGCCGGCGGCACCTAAAAAGAAAACCCTGAAAAGAAAAAAAGATGTTACAGTCTGCTTGGGACACGCGTGTCGAGGAACTAAGTTTACGCAAAAAAAAAATCTTTTAGAGCAATATTGACGGCGAGAGATTTATTTGAAATTCTGCGCGCAAAGTCCATAACGTCACGGAACGGTCATTCGCCCAACGAGACGACCATTCGCTCTTTCCACCTAAACGAAATGCGGAGAGAGAAAACAGGTGGAAATGAGGTGACCACCGACTAAATCGTGTCTTGCGCCGTCAATATTGCTCTAAAAAAATTGTTTTTGCGTAAAATTAATTTTTTGACACGCGTGTCCCAACCAGACCGCCTAAAAACACATTTCTGTTCGTTTGCGTTTTGTTTTCAGGGGCCCTTTAAAGGAGCTGTGCAACGATTTTAATGTTGAAAGGGCTTGCATCTTCTACTTTTGACATTGTTTACCTTGTCACAAAGGACACAAAACAAATCTCCTTCCTTCAAAATGTTGCAACTCCACTGCGTAATCGCGAGGCAAAAATGATAATATTTCCCGACCTGCAGCCGCGAACGGCGGCCATGAGAAGCACGTGGCGTGACGTCAATGGGGGACTTGTCGAGAGATAGAAAGTTGTTCAAATACCTGCTGGATAAAAGGTATTTTTCTATAAAGCTTGTCGTACCAACATAAATATGAATGCGTCAAAAACCTGGTATCATCGACAAAACTTTTATTATACGGAGTTTTAGTGGCGCCATCTATCCGAGGTCAACAAAACCGTCCATCTGCTACCGCGAACAGCCGCCTAAAGCCGGAGGGGAACGGGGGCAAAACCGGACGGGGATGGCCAGAAACGGATGAGACTTTCCTTTTGCCATGTTGATCGCGCTGCGTAAGCCCAGGGTCACGTGGTCGCGAGCGAGTGGGTTCTCGCTGCTCACTGATGGCTCTAGAGAGACAGCTTCACCGGAACCCCGCGCGTCCCCCATTGACGTCACAGCGCACGTGACTCGGAAGATGGTGAAGGAGTTGAGAGGTGCCGAAAACCTCAATCTTTGTCCATTTTTAAAATAAAAACTAGGACATGCAGGCAAAAACGGTTTTTTGTTCTTGACTTCAGAAAGGTCGAGACATCAGCTCTCAAATTATTTAAGCAAAGCACTGAAATTGTTGCGCAGCTCCTTTAAGGAACGCGGTGTGGCGAGCCCCATACATACCTCTGCAAAAATCGTCTTCTTCGCGCTGCCATCTTTGTCTGCTGGGCAGTGGAACGTCTTCTGAGCATGCGCTGTTGCTCTGCTATACGGTAGATCAGACGCTGCGCATGTTTTCACAGCTCAGTGTCTCGGCATTTTTTGCCCTGGCGATAAGCGATGGAAAAACCTATATTCTCACTCTGTAGCCAATAAAATCGAGGTCTTATTCGATAAGAACTCCGAAGAAGGAAAGACGAGGCAACAAGCGTGACTATGAGAAGTCACGCCCTGCGTTCTTTGAGCTGTCAGTGAATATAGACCTTTGCATCGCGCGTCACCCAGGCGAAAAATGTTGCATAAGCTGCGGACGCCATGCGTTGCGTCTTATATTCCGTTAAAGAGAGCGACTCCGCAAGCTCAGAACCTAATTATTTATTTATTTATTTATTTACATATACTGCAGGCCCCGCATGGGCCCAAGCAGGAGGGATAGCATACATAATAAATATAATAGTAATACGTACGGCAAAACACATGAACACAAACGCGTACATATACAATAAGGCTGCGTTATACAATTTATCATACAGCATAAACCACACTTTGTAACAGAGGTTTTCAAAGGTGCGCATGAACAAAACAAAAACAAATTGCAGTTTGGGACTAGACTGCCCCCTAGAGAAAAAAATCAAATTTCAAAAAGCAAAAAACAACAACTGCAGCAAACGAAAATAGGTTGTAATGTGATGACGGTGCTAGTATTAAAGATACGACAAAAAAAAAAGATATCTCAGTTTCGAAGGCTTCGTTTGGCAACTTATTCCAATCTTCAATGGTTCTGGGAAAAAACGAATTCTTGTACAGATTAGTTCTTGCAAATATGGGGGTTAAGGCGAGTAAATGACGATGCCTTGTCGAGCGCGTGTCAAGTTGTGAGATATAACTTTGTGGCTGAATGCCCAATCTATGAAAATAAAGAGAATAGAGAAATTTTAACCTAGCTATTTTTCGTCGTTGAGTAAGAGTGATGTTCGAAGGTTGGACAGACGTAACATGTCTGTTGGGGAATCGAATCTATTAAACCGTCGGTAGATAAATCTCAGTGCTACGTTTTGTATCATGTCGAGTTGTCCTATATCTTTCTTTGTAAAAGGATCCCATACTATGCTAGCATACTCTATAGCGGGTCGGACGATTGTCGAATAAGCAAGTTTTCTGAGTTCATTTGGTGCCTCGCAGAGTTTTCTTCTTAGTAGTCCAAGCTTTCGGCAAGCGTTTGAACTTATCATGTGTTATCAATATGTTTTGACCACTTTAAGTTACTAGTTCGTGTTACACCTATAGGTATTTGTATTCTGACACTTCATTGATGGATGTTTCTCCGATTGTATATTGAAGTCTTAAAGGGTGTTTCTTATTTGTCATGCAGAGGTGAACAGTTTTGTCATAATTGATTGTCATTTTTCATTGTTTACACCAACTGGCCAAACGATTAAGTTTATTGTTCAGAACTTCTCGATTTATGGCAGAGGTGATAGTGGAAAAAAAATAACACAATCGTCGGCGAATAAGCGAACTGAACAGTCCGTGCCCAGGAAGGATACTAGATCATTAATGTATATTAAAAATAACAATGTTCCCAGCACGGAACCTTGTGGCACCCCCGATGTAACCTTCAAAATGCGAGAGTAACTTCCGTTAACGTCTACGAATTGGGATCTATTACGCAGATAAGCAGCTACCCACTTAAGTATATTTTGATGGATGGCAAGGTGATGTAGTTTAAATAGTAATTTATCGTGGGGTACTTTATCGAACGCTTTTGAGTAATCAAGAAATATGATGTCTACCTGGCCGGCACCATCAAGAACTGTTGCAAACTCATGTACCGTGGTTACCAGTTGCGTGGCAGTAGAAAACCCCTGTCTAAACCCACGTTGCTGATCAGAAAGTAGATTATTTCGTTCTATGAATGTCTTAAGATATTTTACCACTATAAACTTCATAAGCTTCCATGATAGACAGGTTAGAGATATCGGACGGAAGTTAGTGACCGACATGCACTCTAAAAAACGTCTGTGCGTCTCCTTTGCCGCACAACACTCGGAGAGCCAATCACCGCAACTTACGGAGGCAGCTCAGCTAATGACAATGCCGAAACATATGTTTAGACCAAACAACGCAGTCTGAGTTGTGACATTAAGCAATGCAAAACGTCACGCTTGCATTGCTTAATGTCACAACTCAGACTTCGTTTTTTTGTCTAAACATATGTTTCGGTATTGTCATTCGCTGAGCTGCCTCCGTAAGTTGCGGTGATTGGCCCTCAGAGTGTTGTGTGGGAAAGCAGACTCACGGGCTTTTTTTAGAGTGTGTAATCTCCTTTCTTATGAACGCGTACAACGTGTGCTCTGAGCCAGTCATTGGATAGAGAACTTGTTAAAAATGAAACTTGAAAAATGACTGTTAGGAAGTGAGCAAGTGATTCAGCATACCGTTTAAGAAAGTCACTTGGTATGTTATCAGGCTCCGGCGCCTTTTTTTTATCAATGTTTAATAGCATAGATACCACCCCATGATATGAAATTTCAAAAGTCATGTCGCTTTCATCATCCGCATTAGACAACAAAATTTCACTACAGGGCGTAAAAACTCCCTGAAAGTAATTATTGAATGTGTCGGCAATAACCACGGCGTCTTCAATTATCGTGTCGCCTTCTTTAAGCCGCTCAACTTTCTTATTTCCGTTAGACAGATATTGCCAGAACTTTTGTGGGTTTTCCCGGAAAAAGTTTCGAAGCGTATTTGTGAAATCGAATGATCTTGAGTCTTGCAGTTTTTCCTTTAGTGTGTTACATAGTTCTAAGATGACACCCAAATCTGGGTTTTGTCTTTTCCTTTGTCGCTTAATCGTACGCTTTAACTGAATAATTTCTCGAGTTATTTACGGGTTGTTAACCCGAATACGCTTCCATTTTACGGGTATAAATTTTTTTTATCAATAGTTGTCAACTTGTTCCATAAAATATTCACATCATCACCAGAAAAGTTTTCGAAACGTGAATCAAGGTAGTCTAAAACTGCAACGTCGTCTGCTTGGTTGTAGTTTTTAACGTACACAATATTAGGGGTTGATGCAGACGACACCGTATGAAGAGTAGAGCAAAAATAGACAACCTTGTGGTCGGAAAAATCCTCACTGACAGAAATGGTTGTAGTTTCAAAGCAAGTGTTATCGAAAACCAAATCTAAGATGGAACTGCACACGTTAGTCACTCTCGTGGCGTGTTTTACCATTTGTGTGAGATTATATCCGAGGATCATGTCAAGAAGAATTCCTGAACTTTGCGTATTAGTCAGATCACAACTTAGAGTTGTTCAATCGACATCTGGAAGATTAAAATCTCCAGCAATTATTAACTTCTGGTTTCTAAAGTGGTTAAGGTGATCATATAGCTTATAGAGAAATTCAGCTTGTGCAGATGGAGCTCTGTAGACACCAATTATCACAACGTTAGTACCCCATAAATTTAGTTTGCAGCAAAAACTTTTGTGGTTTTCTATTTGCTCAAGAATGACACATGGGATAGCTTTTTTAACTAAAATGGTTACGCCACCTCCTCTAGAAACGCGGTCCCGTCTGAAACTGTTGTAGGAGGGAGGGAAAATGTCACAATCAGGTATACCAAGTTTCACTGATCACCGCGACATGCGGGTCATAGAGCATTAGAACATGTTCGAGACGCTCTTTTTTATCCATAACATTTCGTGCGTTAATACAAATCAAACGAAGCTGGGTTATGGCTCTGGCTTGTTGACAATCATCATTGCGTCATTCCCCGCTATTTGGCGGTGTTCTCCAAGCATTCAGCCTCACCCTAGAGTCTTTTTCATCATCCCACGTGTACACTTCTCCGTTCACAAAGAACTTATCATGCACTAGTCTGACCCTGGTGCCATCTTGTCTATCGCCCTGTACAGAGGACCAAAGATTTTTTCTTTTCAACAGAGTGCTCTGGGAATAATCATTGGATACTGACAGGCCGGTGTTTTTTAGCTTTTTGCAGTTATTTAAAACTTCCTGCTTCTCGTTGTTGTTAAACAACCGCAGTATAGCGGGCCTTGATTTTCCTTCTTTTAATCTACCGAGCTTGTGAATGCGCTCCACAGATGACACGGTTACACCTAGCTTTGTGGCAACTGTTTCGTGAATAACCTTCTGCTCCAGGTCGTTCCGTGTTTCACCTCGTTGTTCAGGAAGTCCAAAAACAATGAGGTTGTTTCAACGAGATCGGTCTTTGCAGTCTACAAGCTTTTTGTTTTGCTCGTGCAATGCCCTTTGAAGTTCTTGCACTGTGCCCTCCAGAACAGCTAGTTTTCCCCCAGTTTCCCTGGTAGTTTTAACAACCTCATCTAACTGATCGAGTCTGGTGTTTGTTTCATTAAATCGCTCGTCCTGTAGACGTATGCTATTTTTTTTTATTTCAAGAACTTCTTTAAACAGTTTACCCTTTTCATGTAACACGCTCTGTACCAATTCCTTATGATCGTCAGGACCAGGGTTGCTCTCAATATCGCCGCCGAGTAACAGACACAACTTCAACCAACACTCGTTCAAACACTTCACACATTGGCTGGGGCACGGCAGCACAACTAAACAGTATGAACTTGGTTTAAAGCATTTAGTGTATGAGTCATAACTAACCTGCGGTATGAAGAAGAGGTTTTTAGGCATCGTGCTCGATGTGTTGCTGCCGTGCCGCCCTCTGAGCCAAGTTGTCGGGTGTTGTGGTTTTATAACCTCCCATGGTGACGTCACAGTCCCGTGCTGCCGTTGTCTCACCCATGCGCAGTTGTTGATGCTCTATCATCCCCGAAAACGGGGATGACGTGCAGGTTCGTCGTCCCGGTTTCATAAGCGGGAAGATGCAGTAGCAGCAGAATCTGCGGTATGAAGAAGAGGTTTTTAGGCATCGTGCTCCATGTGTTGCTGCCGTGATGCCCTCCTTGTTCCATAGCCCAGAATGGCAAAGATTGTAGCCCACAAAAATGAGATTGGAAAGGTCTATATACCCTTTCGAAATACTGTCCTCTGTTGGCAGCTGTCAAACCCTACACAATGGCGGACTAAAACCTCAACGTCACGGCACACTGGAAAAAAAACTCACAGAAAAAGGCGATGAGCTTAGTGACGTTGCATTTTTTACTCTGTTTGAGTGGCTCATCGGCTCGGAGTGTTTGCCGCGCTCCGACGTTCGCTATCTCATGGAATGACTTGCACGTACCTCGATGCAGTTGTTCCGCCATTATGGAGGGGTTCCAACCTTCTAATAATCGGCACGCGACTTTCGAAAGGGATCTATAGTCAGCGTGGTCCAAAACAACGAGTGGTTTAAAGCAGTGTGTAACGCCCAGATGGGAAGCTACAGCTCGATACAAGTAAAATAATGAAAAAATAAGCAGCATAACGCACCAGCCATGGTATCGAATTGCTCCACGGACAAACTGGGGAAAAGAAACAGCCATGATGAGCAACGTGACGTGAGTGCGATGTGCGCCTCGGTGGGGTACTATTCGAGCGTCGCGGAGGTACACTAGATGATGATAGTGTGGGTGAGGGAGAAGTTTCTGGCGCATTCTTAATGTGTATTTGACTATATATAGTAGCTCTGCGCGTCGCTTGTATTGCAATGGGTTCAGAAGTTGGGCAATACAAATCGGTTTAGTCTTAAGTTTAGCCATTCTTCAGCTAAGATTTTGTGGAATCGGTTTAATAACTCGTGAAAGTAGAATTTACTTATCTTGGTAAGGAAAACGCTCGCGTTTTTTTTCAGAGGTATTCATACACTGTACCTCGGCTCAATTCAGACTACAAAAGTGATTTTTGCTTAGCAATTTTTGTTTTCTTTCTGTCTGCAATGAGCTTGAAGTTTTGAATTCAATAAGGAAGCATGTGCTTGTTTAGCTCTGTGTACTTCTAAAAATATGGCTTGCTTAAAAAAAATAAAATATATGTCCAGATTCAGAGTGAACGTGCACAGTCAAAGCAGCAGCTCTTCCTCGCACATCTTTTTGTTGAAACCAGTTTTGATCTCGCAAACCGGTGTGCGCAGGCAGTACGGCGTGGGACGAGTGGGCTACACAAACGTGATCCTGGTCATATCGAAGATGCCGTGTGCTCCAGTATTCTGCGATCCACCACCGACACCTTTACAAGCACCCATTGAAGGTGAGACGGTCGAGGCGGAGCTGGCCTATAGCTTCGGTTCAAAAAAAGGTTTCCTTTTCTTTTTTTTCATTCCAGTTGATGACCCGGCGCCCTGTCAGCATCCACTTCGGTATCGACGGCGCCCCGACAAGTGTTACGCCGACCATGCAAAGGTGACGTTTTGTAACCTGGTACCTCCTATACTCTCAATCGCGAGATTAGCCACGGAACGTGAGATTAAAAAAGGACACTGCCATGTTGAGATGAAACAAAAAAATTACGGTGGCTAACTCGGCTATGCCAGCATATACGTAGCGTGAGCCTATGCGCACAAAATGAGAGGCGCTATCTAGCGGCTTCGGTGCAGCGTCAGACTTGGCTACTGCGCAACGGAGGCGCACAGCTGGGCACGCGGCGGCGCCAGTGCGTCTGCCGCGGCTATGACGTCACTCTGGAATGCGCAGACCGGCGCGGCGGCGGCGGCGGCGGCGGCTCCGGCGCGCCAGCTGTGCGCCGTGCGACGTCACTGCTCCTCGCGCATGCGCAGAACGGCTCTTTGGGAGCCACGCGAAACTGCTCAACCTCGTCCAGTGTAGCTTACGCTACAAAATAACTTCGGCTGCTCGTTAGAGCGCTATCGGGAAGAAGAGCCAGAACTGCGGCCGTAGCAGCGGCGGCAGTGGCCACGTGGCGGTGCTGTTAGCGAGATGAGGTCAGGGCCCCTATATATAGCTCTGGAAGAGATACTCCGTCTGCTGCATCATGTTACCATGTGACCCTGGGAGCCGATGCTCTGCAGCTCTACCATCAATACCGGGTGCCCCACGTTCCAGATCTGCAAGCACTCGCTATTTGCAAGGGAAGGGACAACAAGTATGACTCCAGGGAGCCTGCGGCAACAGACGACTGTCGGCGAGCGCAGCTGGCTTCCCAATGACGAAGCGTAGCTCTCCACGTGATCTCACGTCGTTGCGTGACCGGCATAAGTTTGGACTTGTCTTGACCATTCTGATATACCTGCAGAGACCACGAGTCTGTCACGCGCGCAACACATCCGAAACTACCTAAAGTGTTCCGTACCGAAGCTTAACAAATCACAACGCACGCATAATGCCTAAGCGGCGTATTCTGTGCTCCCCGACGGCTTATCAATATGATGGATACAAGTTTCTTTTTTATTATTGTTTCAGGAGGACTACCGTGTTTGCGGACGAGCCTCCACCTCTGTGACGTCAACAGTGGCACTGATCTCGTCAGCGCTGGCCCTCGCTGCTTCCGCCGTCTTGGCCGCACTGTGAGATCCGGAGTGCTACCATGTGGACGGTAGGACACTGTAGAGCCGATCGTTCGCCTTTCCGCTTCGAAGTCACAGCTTCCCCCAGGCACCGGAGTGACACGTCTATCTCGCATCGCCCCGAAAAAGAAGAAAAAAAACCCTAAAAGACAGGCACCGACAGACTCAGCTACTCGAAAAACACTCTAGCGGCGGGTGGTTCTTCACGTGGTGGTGCCGTCGTTCGTTCACTAGGAGGAGTCGCCGTTACCCAAGACAAGCCAGGCCGCGTCCCCTGAGAAGCGGTCGTGGTGAGGTGATGACGTGGTCCGGAGGCGACCACGCCGTGACACGTATACTTGATGGTGTCGGGAACAAGACAACTGGGTTCGTGCGCTCTCCGGTGACGACGCCTTCCGGACAAGTCCCGAAGGAGAACAGCCAGTGGTGCTCCAGTGCGCACGTCCGGAACGAACCCAACTCGAGACCGCTCCCGGTGGTTAGCGGTGTCGCCGTCGCTCTAGCGTTGTTGCCGTTCTTGTTGTTGTTGATGCTTCGAGCTTTGCGTTTCGTACACCCTCCCAGAAAGCCGGAGCGAGTTTGTTTGATGTTCCGCGCCTAGCTTGACCCCGCTTTATTTCCATCTCTATCTCTCTATCTTTCTCTACGTAATAGGAGCATGTTTCTACTAGTTTCGCGACCACTCTTCGAGGCACCGAGGCATCGGTGACGGGTGAGCGGGTATCAGAGAGAAGACTTTCTCATGCTGGCTGCGGCATTTAGCTGGTAGACAACGCCCGCTCAAGCATGGTCTTATATTTCATCACCGTGATAAAGTTACAAGCAAAAATTACGATAGTGTCAACTCCTACAAGGAAAGGGTAAAGTGTAGTATTACCCTAATTATCGGGGAGCATGCCCTTTTCGATGTTTTGTCGTTGTGTTGAATGACGAAGTGGTCCTTGTATGAGGTCGGAAAATTATTACGATAAGCGATCGATGCTTCCTTAGACAGCATAAATTGTGACGTCGGATGTCGGTGAGCAGAATATTGTCATGGGAACGTCGTGTCATAAGTGTCGCCTTGACGACATGTGGAAAGATCGGTTTAATTTTGAATATTGCAGACTGGCTTAAACCGGAATTTTAGTGCCATGTTTTAAATTCACTACCACTAGGTCCACCAAGTTCCTTCGAATATGCAGCCGATGAATGGAATAACAAAAACAAATGATTACACGACGCATTCATTCCTAGAAATTTATTGTACTCGTCTTGTTTAAATATCTAAAATGTATAACATGATGCGCCCGCCCCAGTATGCATGAGAGGTGGATGTCCCGTCACTAAAATCACCTAATAGTGAGATTTCCTTACAATAGTTGGTCTTACGTTTCCGTTGTAAGAGCCCCAAATGCTCGCCTACTGATCAGACACTCTTACACATGCCGATGACGTTGACATATACGGTATTTAAGGCTAACTGATGACCAACATACCTGCTAAAATAGTACTGTAAATTTAAAAATTGAAGTCACGGACTGTTAGGCATAGACATATAAATAACTGCTTAAAGAGAGAGTTTACCCGTTTACCGAGTTCGAAGGCGGATTGGCAGGAAATTGGAATTCTCATTTATGGCACTTCTCACGTAGGCCTACCACTTTAACCTGAGAAACTAAACATGTTTAACTTTTTTATACACAACTCGATATCAACTTTCCGCCCTTCGTTATAAGGCTTGTTGGTGTCGACGGGAGGTGTAATCGAGCTGTGTTACGCAATAGACTCCGCCCTGTCTCCGTAAATAAGCTCCGTTGCCTCAGAGATCTCCGCGCCGCTTTTGCTGAGAAACAATCACTCACCCGCCAACCAGCTTTAGGGAACGTGCATGAGTTCCCATCAAAACCCCGCGTGTAGTGGTTCCTCGCCCAGGAGGCTAAGTGAACCAAAGAGCCAGCAAGTCACCGCAACAAAAAGTTCTCTCGCTATTTATTTACCTTTTTTCTTTCTTTCTTTCTTTCTTTCTTTGTTGAAATTATGTTTGTTTCAAAGATTTAGCTGTGGCAAATACTACGACCATTCACTTTCCTCCGTGTTGTTTAGATGTTGTTCCCAAGAAAAATGCGAAACACTGCGTCCTGGTTTTTATTTTTTGTAACCGCGATCTGCGCTCACGCTTCGTAGACGGCGCAAACGCGCTTTTCCGTTGTTTTTTAGGACAGCCTCCGCGAGTACAAATCTTCGCGTGGATTGGGCTCTGCTTATGCAGGAAAGCTTTATGCCTTCCTTGCGACGCTGTTTGCGAGAAAGGTGAAAAATCACCGGCGTTTTGACGTAGAGAATTGTCATACGCATACAGACACACGCGCGCGCTCGCACGCGCGGGACCTATATTCGCAGTTTTTTTTTGTTTTTTTTGTAGTAGGGTAAACAAAATTGGGGTACGTTGCGTTTTTTTTATCTACCCTTAACAAATCAACACCTGCTTTAATTTTTTTTAAATATTTTGTCTAGGTTTATCCTGACCTACACAAAATCATATTCTATATAGACGAGTACGAAGGGGGTGGTCCAGCCCTATAAGGAAAGGAAAGAAAACATTTATATATGGTTTCCCAAATAAACACATCAGAAACTATATAAATTATACCAGGCACTTGTCAGGTCTATATAAGTTCTTATAGGATCTTATATGTCTTCATATAATTATCAGGCACATTTATGTAATATATATATATATTCTTCACTTGTGGGGAATTTCATGGTTTTCCTCCTTGGCGAATTCTAGAGAAACCGAATAGCCCGATACCGAATGAAAAACAAAACAGAAATTTTGGGCATACAAAAATTAGTTATTGTTGTATTTATTTTGTTACTTGAAACTGAGCAACGTTCGTGTGTGTGTGTGTGTGTGTGTGTGTGTTTGCGGAACGGTCTCTCGAAATATAAATTAGCATGAGCCGACGACACGCGTAGTTTCGTTTTCGCAGAAGTGACGTTAAGTTAGCGAGTAGTAGCTGATGATTATTAGGTGCCTTCAAGTTGGTCGCCCCGACGCTGGCACTTGATACGGGCCATGCTCGTTGCCATGCTCGTTGCTTCGCGTATCGAGCCTTCATCTCTGCGCCATACCGTAGCGCGCTCTTTATAAGTTTTACGACATATACAGCTTCGCATCATGATAAATACGCCTTCAATTACTAATGAGTTTTTCGTGACATTATTGTGTATAGTAGGCATTGATTTTTATTTCGCATGTCAACTTTATTTTACCGTGCTTCTCCATGAACAATGAACGCGTTTTCTATTTTTTTTTTTGTAAGCTCGCATTGCATGGCAATTACGCAGCCCAGACAAACCATAGTTAAAGCTCTCTCACTGTTTTTCTTTTCATCTTGTTTTGTAGAATCGAACGCTCCGAACACCACGAACGTCTTACCGAGCGAGAAAAGGAGCCCTGAAACAGTCCTTCACGAACCCCGAAAGCCCACGGCACGCAGAGGAGGGTTTGCCTCCTGTAAGTGCCGGTAAGATATTAGTACCCCGAGGAACTCGGACACATGTCAGCCGCCGCCGTTCCCACCTGCTTACCGTAAGAAAGGTCAAAGTTCCGCTTAACGATGTTTTTGAGCTCGTTAGAACTTTCACCTAGAAGACGACAGATCCGTTGACCCGGTGAAAGAGCCGAAAAGACTTCAAAAGTTGGTCGATAACCAAAATGCGTTAGCCTGTCTTCTCCGAGAAGCTCGACAAACAAAAACCTTGACCTTGAGGTTCAGCTATGTTACAGCTTTCTCAGTAACCGCTGAGTGATAAGTTTGAGGCAGCTCTTTAAGACGATGCCGACATTTTCAGCGGTTGAAACCCCTTTATACTTTTTTTTTTCATGATAATGTAAGAAGTAACGACATTAAACAGGTGAGACCAAACCTCTTGACCCTCGTTATGGTATTGTTTCACCGCCGTTCCTTCAGCGGCCTGGGGAATTAAGATCGGAAGGTATGCAACGAGGCCTTGGTGCATACCGTACGCGTATAACGACTCAGGCGTCACGGTTTTGTGCTACCTCAAATCACCCGAGGACAACACAAAAACCCGTAGTGTCACGAATTTTATATAAAAATGTGGCAATATCTTACCCTATTACCATTAACCGTTTCTCATCCTATTATGTCAAGATGGAAGCAAGGAGAGTCAGCCGATGGCAGATCGTAATGTCGTATTCGCCATTACGATCAGAAGATATAAATATATATCTGAACGTACTCACTTTCAGCTGCCAGGTCCCACGTGACGTACATTCAAACGCAAACAAAGAACATTCACGTACAGACACATGCGCACACATACGCACATACCAAACTCTCGGGCTTCCAAACATTTAACCGACAAAGCTCACAAGCACGCCCAGTCTCTTTAGTGGAAGGCAAGCGCAAAATAACAAATACCCCGTCGTAATAACATTCAGCACGGTTCCCATCATTCTTGTCGCCCCTAACACAAAAAAAAACACAAAAAAAACAAGTCTATGTCCAATTTTTTTTTCTTTTTTTTTATCAAATCCAAAATTTGTTAAATGAAGTTCTCTAGCATCCTTATGCGTCTGAGATGCCCGGAAATCTTCATTAGATTTAGTTATCATTTCCATTGAGGATCCCGACTGAAAAATGGAGCAGTCCAAAAAGAAACAAATTCAAAACTAATTGCAATTTTTTTAATTGGATTAATGTACCGCGAAACCACGTCAAACGTTCCAGGTGTTAAAGGGCGTACTATTGTTAAGTTTGAGAGAGACCAGCCAACACCGCCTAGAAATAATCAAAGCCTGTGCACCAAAATTCTGTTTTTTTTTTTTTTTTTTTTTTTTTATTTTTTAGAAAATCCAAAATTTGTTAAATGAAGTTCTCTAGTATCCTTATGCGTCTGAGATGCCCGGAAATTTTCATTAGATTTAGTTATCATTTCCATTGAGGATCCCGACTGAAAAATGGAGCAGTCCGAAAAGAAACAAATTCAAAACTAATTGCAATTTTTTTAAATGGATTAATGTACCGCGAAACCACATCAAACGTTCCAGGTGTTAAAGGGCGTACTATTGTAAAGTTTGAGAGAGACCAGCCAACACCGCCTAGAAATAATCAAAGCCTGTGCACCAGAGTTCTGTTTCTTTTTGTTTTGTTTTTTTCTCGTCATCGGAGTGAGATTGAGCGATAACATAGATTGGTCACGAGTGTTGCGTCAGCGGTCGGCTAGGCCTCGTGGCCAATCACCGCGTCGAACGGCCCGGCATTGGGCTCGGGTCCAATCGCTGAGTTATCGCCCATCCGACTCTGATGGCGCTCCGTGGAGAAAGAAGAGAATGTTCGCAGGACTCGATTATTCCAGGTGGTGTCGGATCAACACGCCAAGTACGTTGGCAGACGTATACTCTACCCCGCTAGAACTGTTTCCCTTCCGGTGGTGTCATAAGCGGGGGACGCTTAA